CTGTGCAAGTAATGAGAGGTACCTTCTCAAATGCACTAGCTTCACTACCAGGGACGCTGTACCAACATTTTGGCTCTCCCCTGGGAACAAAATAAAGGAACTGAATACAAATTTTGAATAAAGCTAAAGTTGAAATCATCCACCATCAGTTCAAGTAAAGGGGAAAATATCTTATTGCTAAAAGTGAAATGTCAATTTGAAAGATGCCATGCCAGAAACCTTTTTAATAAAAGCATCAATAGATTGTCATGAAGAATAGGGAAAAACTGATCCATCATGGAGAGACACTAAAAAGATTTCCTACCATTTTTTTCAGATTTTTTTGAAGAAAAGTTGTGAGTTATGCAAAAGTCTTAATGTATTCAAACAGCTCAAAACCACATAAGTCATAACCATACATAGAACTTCAACTGTGAAATACTAAATTTGCAAAACTAGTGAAACAATTAAATGTCTTTGCCAAGAGATACAAAATTATTTTTTTACTCAATCAGTGACCTAACAATAAAAATGACGATAGTGTCATTATCACCCTAAGACAACCACAATGATACTAGGACATAGCCAAGGTTAGATGATTGTTTCATTATTCATATAATTGTAATAAATAAAAAATGTTATTTTGTCCGCCAGAAGTGCTTTAATGCAATAGCAATTTCACCAAGGAATCTACACTAATGTTGATTGTATGCTACACTGGGAATAACTATAGCTAAAAAATTACTTCCAAAGCTGCACATAAAATGTAAGTGCTGCATGTATGTTCTCCCAAAACGTCCTCTTTGTCTCTCTCTGTTATATATACTTTTTTTTTTTTTTTTTTTTTTTTTTTTTTTTTTTCTTTTTTTTTTTTTTGTTTCTGTGTGGGGAAGAAGGTCTACTCGTCTTCCCTTTCTTCTTTTTTCGTCTTTTTTTTTCTTCTTATTATAAGCTCTTGCATATCATGTGGTGACCCCACATAACTTTCTCTCAATCACACACACACACAAACCACAAGCTGTTGACATCTCATCTTGCTCCACATAATGTGGACATCTTTACAACTCAAGGCCATTAATAAGCCACTTACTTGGATAATTTATTATGCATCTGAAGCCAAAAATGTCTCAGTCAAATATAATAATTAAAGGAATGAGATACAAAGATATACATACCAGTGCAAATAATTCATTGAGTAAAAACAATGATCTTCAAAATGCCAACAAAAAGATGAGAACAGCATCCCAACATACAGCCAAGGCACCATAACACCAGCAATGTTATGATGAACAGTTCTAAGCACTGACCCTTTCAACTTGGGCAAGTTATTCAGATTCCATGGGCTACCACAGTATTCATCCCATATCTTGGCCTCAACTGACTCTGGTCTCTGATCATTTCCACGTGGAAAACCGCTCCCATAAATAGAAGTGTCCAAGTCGCTGCCATACATAACTTCAACCTCACCAATGGAACCCTCCACAATTTCCCAAAATTTTTTCTCTATTTGAACCCGTGATGCAGACCCTGACCCAAACCATTTCCTCTTCGATCGATTAGCCACACGCCTAAAAACTTCCAGTGAAAAACGCTTACCAGGCACAAAACCAAAACTATCTTTGTCAGAATTCAAGCAATCCAAACAATACCAATTCCCAGGTGGGACCTGTTTCAATGGTGGAGAGAGACAATGAATGTGCCACCCCTTATTGCACCTGTCACACAAAAGCATCACTTCACCGTGCAACCCACTTCTGCATTGTTCGCATATCTGATCATGCTCCTCATCCTCCTTCTCTACCTTACAGACCTTAACTTTCTCACCCTCATTATTGGTTCGCCTCCTTTTGGAGCTGGAACATTCAACATTTTGTTCACTCCTCTTCTCCTCATGCATACCCCTTTTACGACTCCTAACCACCTCTTTGTTCAGCTTATTATAATACTTTTCATAATCATGTAAATGGTCTCGATACAATTGACACAATACATGCTTCGAACACTCCGAAATCTTTCTCGCTGGCCTCACAAAACGAGCAACCTCACCCCACTTCTTCCCCTTCACAACCTTATCATACCCTCCATACCGCTTCACAGCATTAAACAACTTACACAAATCCAACTCCTCCCCTTCAAAAACCACCTTCTTCCTCAACTTCTTCCCACAATGGTCCTCCAAGAACCTATTGTACTCCAACTCAAAAGTCTTGGAATCACACGAAGCAGGCCGTACCTGCAACTGATGAATGGCTTGCGTTTTCGTGGGGAATGTGAATGAATCCAAATCCAAAGCAAATGGGGGTTTCCAGTTCTTGGGTGGAACTATCCTACAAATCCCATATAACTCAGCCTCTGGCCTGATCTTATATATATACTCCAAAGGGTCTCTAAATTCATCCTCAGTAGGATAATATACAGGTGCAGATGGTATATTCAATGATCCAGATGCTGAAACACTCAAATTTGGACCTACCACTCCCTTCTCCACAGCCCTAGGTCTTCCTTTCCCCATTAACACCACTCCACATACACACACAACCTATGCATACACCATACATATAACTACCTGCATAAAATTAAATTAAACCTCGCAGTACTAAAAGTATCAAACAGGAAAGGTTTCTAGGGTTTTGTAGAGCGTACCTTTTTGAAGATAAATAGACAGTAAAGAGTGAGAGAGAGAGAGAGAGAGAGAGAGAGAGAGGGTGTGGTCCGAGCTTTCTCTCTCTTAATAGCAAGTGCTGCGTTTCGTGGTCTTGGTCGTGAAAAAGAATGGGAGGGAAGTTTACGTATTAGGGCCTAAAAATGGTCAAATTTACGAAAATGGCAACGCCCTTTTTCAAGCATCGAAAATGGTTTTCTCGTTATTAGATTTTTTCTTTCTCTTTAACTTGGCCGTATGTTTCGTCGTTTTTGTGTTTGTCTCGTTTGGTCATTTTCGCCGTTTGCATCGAAGAGAGGATTCGTTTGGGAATATTCACGCGCAGCGGGATGGGACGGCTGAGAGTGTGGCAGGGGTTTAATTAACGGTCCCGATTTAGTCGTTTGTTTTGCCCTGCGTTTGAAAGCGTGTTGGTCGCACGTGCGTGATGTATCTTTTTAATTTTAAGCAACCGTACGGCTGTATCCGGCCTCCTTCTGGGCACACGTGTAGAGATCTAGAGTAGATAGGCTATTCATATTTTGCTAAATTTCATTTTGATTCAATAGTTTTTCCAAATTTCAATTTTGGCAATTTTGTCGTTGTAACGAGAGAATGAGGGGGTGAAAAATGGAGAAAAAGGAAATAGAGGGATGGGAGAGGCTCAATGCGGATTGGGGAAGACGAGAGAGGGATAGCGGTTTGGTGGGTTGGGCACTCGAATTTTTCTTTCTCTTCCTAGTTTTCTTAAGTTTTTTGTTTTTTAGTTTTTTGTTTTCTCTTTCAATGCAAGCTCCTTGACACATGCGCACACACATGCTAATTGGTTTTTTTTTTCAAATTAAAAAAGATAATGGGTAGTTGTGTTCTATAAAAATATGACATATTATTTAATTTTATTTTAAATTTTAAATTTTTTTAATATTAAAAAATTTTGAATTTACCATATTATCCTCATTTAATTAATAATTTCAATTATTAATGTTTGAATTAACCAATGGCATTTTCTGGTATTTTAAATGTTTCACCATTCTTTACCTTTTGCTTTATATATACTAGCCTCTTTGCACGCGCTTCTGCGCTTACGAGAGGTTTTTTTAAAAAAAATATTTAAATTTATTTTAGAATTAAAAATAATAATGGGTAGTTGTGTTCCATAAGAATAAGATTCATTATTTGATTTTTCTTTTAATTTTGATTTCTAATATGAAAAAGTATAAATTTACAATATTATATTCATTTAATTAATAATTTTAATTCTTAATGTTTTGATTAACTAAGGGCATTTTTGGTATTTTAAATGTTTCACCATGCTCCACATGTGCCAATTGGTTTTATTTTTTATTTTAGAATTAAGAAAAAATAACATGGGTAGTTATATTCCATAAAAGTATGACCTATTATCTGATTTTGTTTTTAATTTAATTTTTTTAAATATGAAAAAATGTGAATTTACCATATTATCCTCATTTAATTAATAATTTCAATTCTTAATGTTTGAATTAATCAGGGATATTTTCTGGTATTTTGAATGTTTCACCATTCTCTACCTTTTGCTTTATATATATATATAGTAATAATAATTTCAATTCTTAACGTTTGAATTAACCCATGACGTTTTCTGGTATTTTGAATATTTCATCATTCTCTACCTTTTGCATATTTCACCATTCTCTGCCTTTTACTAATAATATATAGATGAAGAGATGTACAACTAGACGAAGAGAGTGGTGAGAGTTGGAAGAAATATCATTTCATCCTTTTACATATATTGCAACATTTTTTAACTAATGTACTCATTACCATGTTTTGTTGTAAGAATCTCATTTACTGTGCTTTCATTTTTGTATTATCCATTTGTGAGTATTTATACTCAGCCTTGTGACTTATCATCTCCGTGTTTAATTTATGAATACAATTATTACTAAAAAATAAAAGAAAAATCTCGTTTACAATTTGAAAACAAAAAGCTACAAACCAAAACTCTTTTTTGTCGATAGACTTTTGAGTTCTAATTATTATTTACAGTGATTAGAGAGCCTCAACTTGGCCTGCTCATGACGTCAACAGTGCCTTTCACGAAATTGCTATAGGCGTTTATGTAATCTCAAGAACAAAAAGAAAACTTTTGTTTATTTTTGTCAAACAATAATAAGCAATGGCAACCACGTTACTAATGTTGTTAGTTGGAAGACATACTCCATAATTTTCGTTTCAATATAATATAAAATAAAAAAGCATTTCAAACAAACGAATTTAAAACAAATTTTTTTAAAATTTGTTTTAATCCCCACTACGCACCCATACAAATTATAAAATTCAAAAGTATATGGCAGAACCAAATCTCCATCTAGGTTAGCTAAACCTCATTTTCCCATTCATGGCCTCCAATTACAACAAACCCAAGTCTTCTTCATCAAAACTTTGCACCATTCTCTTCCTCATTGTCCTCTTCACCATCCTAGCTCTTTTTCTCCTCCATACATACACCACCTCCACTTCCATTTGCACCACTTTCCCCACCCATCCCAAGCCGTGGTCCGGCGATCTTCGTACCGCTCAGTTTTCATGGAACCGCCTTCCCTTTCTTCACCATCAAGACCACCCTCGCCTCAAAATCGCTGTGTTCTCCAAAAAATGGCCTCTTGGCACTGTACCCGGTGGCATGGAACGCCATGCCATCACTCTACACAAAACCCTTGCCCTCCTCGGCCACCAAGTCCATGTCTTCACCTCCCCACAAGAGCTGATCAAACATCATCCTCCAAGTCCTTCATCATCGTTCATCCATTTCCACGAGGGTGAGCCCGGGATTTGGCGTTACAACAAGGCATGGGAACAATTTTTTGAGCAAAACCAACGTGAAAAATTCGACGTGGTTCACTCCAAAAGCGTGGCGCTTCCTCATTGGCTGGCCCGGGGCCTCCCAAACCTTGCAGTGTCATGGCATGGCATAGCCCTAGAGAGCTTGCACTCATACATCTTCCAAGACTTGGCACGTAACCCTAGCACGGAGCCTATGTCCCCATCTTTCAACAAAAGCATACAAGGGTCGGTTCCAAAGGTGTTGAATGAGATTAGGTTTTTCCAAAACTATGCACATCATGTTGCTACAAGTGATAGTTGTGGAGAGATGCTGAGGGATGTGTACCAAATACCAAACAAAAGAGTCCATGTGATAGTCAACGGAGTAAATGAAGCTGAGTTTGGTCAAAATAGTAAAGTAGGCCACGAGTTTAGATCTAGAATTGGCATACCACAAAATTCTAGTAATTTAGTATTTGGAGTGGTTGGAAGATTAGTGAAGGACAAAGGCCATCCTATACTTTATGAAGCATTCTCTAAGCTCATAGCTAAGTACCCTTCAAATGTGTACTTGATCGTGGCTGGTTCCGGGCCATGGGAGCAAAGGTACAAAGATTTGAAGTCCGATCGAGTTCTAGTACTTGGTTCTATGAGTCTATCTAAGTTACATGCGTTTTATAATGCGATTGATATTTTGTGAACCCTACACTTAGACCACAAGGTATCGATATGACTCGCACGGAGGCGATGATGAGCGGGAAGCCAATTATGGCATCAAGGTTTCCAAGCATCAAAGGTACTATAGTTGTGGATGATGAATATGGTTTCATGTTTTCTCCCAATGTGGAGTCGTTGTTGGAGGCATTGGAATTGGCTGTGAATGAAGGGCCAAAGAGGGCAGCACAAAGAGGAAAGGCATGCTTGGAATATGCAAATTCCATGTTTACAGCAACCAAGATGGCATTAGCATACGAGAGGTTGTTTCTTTGTATAAAAAATGAAACATTTTGTACCTACCCTTGATTAATTAAGCTCTAGATTTATTTCTTAGTTTTAACTAATTTTTCCACTTTCCATAGGAACTTCAAATTTGTATTTTTTTAGTTGGGCTTGAGTGCTTTCCTTTTGTGCAATTTGAGTTTGGTCCAGGGGCAAATTTATTTGGTAACATATTAGATTAATAAACAGATACTTATGTTATAACATGAGTAGATTGATAACACCCCGTGATTTGAACACTCCGAACTAAGATCACTATTAATAGTCTTTGTTTTTTTCTTTATTTCTTTCTAAACGGTTGACCAAAACACTCCATTAGTGCAATCAGATTAAAATATTTTCCCTCTCTTTTTGGAGGAAAAAAAGTATAATGATAAGAATGATGCTGATAGTTCTGTTATTATATACCCTTACTAAATTTGAATTTGTTAATTACTATATATAGTTACATTTCATGCTAGATATACTATAAGAACAAAAAATCTATATAGAAAGGTGCATCTGATTAAATTTTGTGGTTAATTAACATGATGATTTACTATGATTGAGACCATCAACAACCCGATTGGCTTGGCTTATTGATGCCCAAATTAATTTAATATGCTACGTTGATGCCAATTCTAGAAGTTCCTTAGCTTCCAATTAGAATGTTCCAGTAAGATCCTAAATATATAAAGACAAATTCGATTCATGTGACGCGTACACTAATGATTAACATAATCCAATTTTAAATCCAAAGTAAACCGTTTCTTGATGAAGAGTTTCTATTTTTATGTTTTCTTCAATTTCGTATTGTCCGAAATTATAGCTCATCAACAAGCGTCTCTGTTTTCCCACTATCTTTAAATAGTAATAAAAATTGCAAATAAAATAAAATAAAATGATTGTGTTTCAAAACCTAAACCGAAAAGGAAAAATCATAAAGAAAAAAAAGTAAAAAAAAAGGAAAAAGTAGGGGTAAATACACATAAACAAGATTTGAGCTAGACCTCATGGGAAAAGTGGTGGAAATTCACCCCACTTTGGCAACAAATTTGGACAGATGGATTACTTTTATTACTTTTGTGTTTGCTATTTTATGCTTAAATTATGATAGTTGTTTTTATTTAATTTTTATTTATTATGGGTTTGTCTGTTAGGGGGAGATGGTTGGGCAATTGATTATGGAAACTTATTCACTAGGGGGTGTGAAAATCAGAAAGATGGGGGGTCATGTCGGTGGAAATAGGGAAATGTAGGACAAATCCCACACGCACACACAAAAACACACCGATATAAAAACACAAAAATAAAATGAATAATTTTTAAAAGTAAAAATTTAAATACAAAACATTTCACGTTTTTTAATATATACAATTCTCATCTAAATCTCGAAGCTCTCTGCTGTCTGTCTGTCTCGCTCTCTCTCTCTCTCTCTCTCTCTCACAGCAAGTTTTCTCATACGCAGAGAAAGCAAACGCGGAAACGACGAAGAAGAAGAAGACGACGACGATTTCTGATTTCAAAGTCTCTCTCAACTCTCACTGTCTGAACTTACTTTTATTATATTTTAGAATTTCGTAAATTCAACCAAAAAAAAAGAAGAAAAAAATGAGAATGAAATAAACAAGGACAATAGACCTCCTTGCTTTCGTTGCCTTTGACCGAATCGAGGACGAGGACTTGCTTGGCTCATTCATTCATTCAATTTCAGGTTCTCAAAGCTCTTCTCGAATTTTCACTTTAAACAAATATATTTTTGCTGTTTCGTTTTCGAGTTTACATGTTTTGAGTACCATGCTGTGCTTTGCTGTTGGTGATCTTTGATTTGAGTTAAAAGGGTCTCCGTTTTGCGTGATTTTAGTTGGTGGGTCAGTGTGTTTGTGCCAAAAGGAAGAAGCTTTTTGCTTGGTGTTTGAGAGAACTGGGTTTTGGCTTAGTTGGTAGGCTGTGGACTCAATTTGACTAGCTCGGATCATAGTGAGTTGACCCAGATTGGAATCGTTGGAGAGGTATCATTTGTTTAGCTGAAATGCTGAATATTCAGTGATGTATTGCTTGTCTATGCCTTTTGAAATTTCTTCAGAGATGCCTACTCTACATTGTTTCTCTCTGTACAGAGTTTAGCATTAGTGTTAGGACTAAAGTGTCCCTTGACTTGAATCATTGAAATTTGAATAATTTGTCTTGACATTGATTGCATCTTTTGCTTTCTGTGGAAAGGAACATTTGAAAGAAGCTGTTTTTCCACAAAAAGAACAAAACGATTGTTTTTTGAGGAAGCCTTTTGTGGGCAGAATTATTGAAGTTAGTTTCAGATATCGAGAAAATGAGTTGAACTTTGACATGGGCATTTTGAGGTTTTCCATATAACTGTAGATTCTGAATAATCAATCTTTTACAGGTCTTGCTCAGTGAAGGGAACTAATTGGGCTGGCATTGAAGGTGGATGGAGGTTTTGGGTTTTACAAATTTTGGTAAAATTTGAAATTTTGAACCCTCAAGACTTCCTAGTGTTTGCTGTCAAATTCTGAGACTGGGATGGGCTGTGGGTGTTCCAAACTCTCTGTCTGTTGTTGGGGTTCAGAAATTACTGAACCAGTTCTTGAGACCCATAGCGTGGGTAAGAATGTGTAGCTTTCATTTTTCATTTTTCATTTTTTCTCTGTCTCTCCGATTGCAATATCATAGTTTGCTGTTCTTTTTGTAGAAAATGAGGAGAAGAATGAACTTGATTTGCCTGCATTTCATGAGTACACAGTTGAGCAACTTAGGACGGCAACCTCAGGATTTGCTGTGGAGAATATAGTTTCTGAACATGGGGAAAAAGCCCCAAATGTGGTTTACAAAGGGAAGCTTGAGAATCAAAGACGGATAGCTGTCAAAAGATTCAATAGATCAGCTTGGCCTGATGCCCGGCAATTTTTGGTAAGCATGTACTGACTCCCCAATTATTCTGATGTCATTATGACTACTTCCACAAAAGTTCTTTTATGATCAACATTCACAGATTTTTCCATATTTATGTTCTTTTCTGTTTTTTTGACCGATTCACAACATTCTTGATATTGCTGATTTCTGAGTAACTTTATTACATCTTTCTCATTTTTAAAACTGTATGTAATTGCTCATTGCCCTTACCACTACAAAAATTGTTAAACTATTGCTTATCCTATTAATGATATGTTTCTCCCTAGGAAAGGAGTCTGTGTTCAATTTTTGGAGCATGTTTTGAATTTGAATACCCTACTGACTTTAAATGGTTTAATGATGTTTGCATCTCATGGAATAACTCAATCGTCCAGTTTGATACCACTAAAAGAATTTAATCCCCAATATATTATTATTATCATCATTTATATATTGTGGTAACTACTACCATTTGCTTTAATGTTCCCATGATAGTGATCTTGTTTAGGATACACGCATTCAATTGAATGTTCAGTATACACTTAATGGTCTCCCCCATTCCCTCGAAGAAGCTCCAAAAGAAAAATTGTGTTTTACAGCCCTCTTTTACTTTTTTTTCTTTCCTTTTGATCAGATCCAGCTATTCTAGTTTGGGGAAAGGGCATTATATCGGGTATGTTTATGGCATATGATAATGGACTGATGGATTCATGGCCATTGATCAACCAAGTTAGTTTAATTTTAAATTTTTTATGAAATGCCAATGTGCTCTCTTTACTATCTTCATGAGTTCTTTCATTTTATGCAATGTGTACGTGTCTGCACAGCCATTAATGTAGGTTTTTTTTCCCCATTTCCTTGCATTATGATTTTTGTATTTCTTCCTCTGACCTGAGATTTTACAATTTTAGGAAGAAGCAAGGGCTGTTGGGCAGCTTCGGAACATCCGATTGACAAATTTACTTGGTTGTTGCTGTGAAGGTGACGAGAGACTACTTGTTGCTGAATATATGCCCAATGATACATTGGCAAAGCATTTATTTCATTGTAAGTCCATTAGTTGCTAGTTTTTACTTTATATTTGTTATTTTATCATGTAAACGCCTTTAGTTTTTTGCATTTCATTTTTGTATCCAATATGCTCTTAGTAGTGACTGAAACACTTTAAATATGAATCTGAAGTTTTATCTGATTATCTAACTATTAACATTTAACCATTGTAATCATAGTTTTCCACTATAGGCTGTTAAGGGTCTCTTTTAAAAATAAAATTATGAAAATGTGGTGATATTTCGAGTGTTTATATATATATATATATTTTTAAATGATCACTCCTGTGGACAAGATGCAGTAGGTTCTTAGTTTGGCAGTTTCCTTTGGTCAATTCATATTTTCTTTTTTCAACTTCTTAAAGCGTCATATCATTTGTTGTTTTGAATATCTTGCCGGCATGTTGGGATCAGATGCAAAACAACTTATCATCATCACTCAAGATGATTGCTATGTTTGGATTTCTTTTGTGTTTCCACCTGCAAGTCCAGTTTTCTTATCTGTTGAAGTATTAATGAATCTATTTTCCTTTATCTTTGACATCTGTTATCTACTCATACTTCTCTGCTGTATTCATTGTGCCCCCTTTTATTTTAACTTTTTGGTCCTCAAAAGACACAATTTTTAGTATTGCGTTTGATTATGTATTGTATCAGGGGAAACACAACCCATGAAATGGGCAATGCGGTTACGGGTGGCTTTATATCTTGCACAGGCTCTTGAATATTGTACCAGTAAAGGACGTGCCCTTTATCATGATTTAAATGCCTATAGAATTGTGTTTGATGATGTGAGTATCTATCTACTTTCTGTTTCTTCAAACTTAACTTAATACTGTCATTTCTGCCCCTCATTTGTTGTTTGAGTCTCATACGAATTGCTCTTACTAAAACCTCAGGATGGCAACCCTAGACTTTCATGCTTTGGTATGATGAAAAACAGTAGAGATGGGAAAAGCTACAGTACAAACCTGGCATTTACTCCTCCCGAGTATCTACGGACAGGTATGTATCTTCAAGAAGTAAAATTTCTCAGCTTTTGGCATTTATTCATTAATAACATTTTTGCGTTCTTCATTGGACCAGCATGGCAGTTGAACCTTTGTTACCATCTGGACACCGATATTCAGATGTTACATGTGATGTTTGCCTGTTGTGACTTGTGATGTTATGTTTACTTGTTCCCTGTTTTCTTCCTTTTATTTATTTTTTAGTTTCGTTAAATTGGTTATTTTGTGGTTCCAAGATGGTATTGTGTAATTAAATTTCTAATATGGTCTGGAATTTGACTGAATACGAGCTTTAGTCGTTGGAATTTTTGTTTCTCTTATGATGTCCATAGTATATATATATGTATATCTTCATTATGTAATATACATCGCTTGATAAAGTAAGGGTAATTTGTTGAGTAATCTGCAAATATGGCATTTTATAAGGGAAATTCAATTGGAACTCAAATTCTTATCTCTGTATGTACTCTTGCACCTACATACAACACAAACACATGTGCATGCCTGCCAATCATGTTTCTCTTTAAACGTGAAAGTACTCTGGTTTCCATCTTGTATGGTGGATTTTGTTGCTGTCAGTTGCAATGGTCTACATGGTTGTTATCTGAGCAGTTCTTTTGCTATATATACGTTTTATATGTTTCTTTTAAATAACATGCTTCTGTTGCTCTTGATTTCCCAGTCTCCATGGATGTTATTTGGCCAGTCTAATTTCGTTCTCATATTCTAGGGGGTGTTTATTTGAATGTTTATTTTATGAATACCATATCTCTCTCATCTTTTCTGTAGGAAGAGTTACGGCAGAAAGTGTAATGTATAGCTTTGGCACCCTTTTGCTTGACCTTCTCAGTGGGAAACACATTCCTCCAAGCCATGTAAGTCTCTTTTGCAATAAGACCCTTAATGCACCACCAGACGGTTTCCTATTCCTAAGAGGAATACAGGAGAGACTAGTATTGGGTATTAGTAATTGTGCCATACTGGAACATTCGTTGATAGCCATGATTATGGAACTAATGACCACAGGTATATTAGTAATATGGCATGATTCTTCAACCTCAAAAGAATATTGATAAGTAGTTGATGGATGTTGTTTTCCAATATCCTTCCCATTGAACTCTTTAGAAGGTTGAGGGTTTCAGGGTTCCTCACTGACCTTGAAAAGTGTGTGACTCTGGTCATAGGAATAACTTTGTTTTCTCATTTGAGCTTTCAGGTCTGAGTTCCATGTAATTGCACATCTAATGTTCAGTTGCACAATGTTCTAGGCACTTGATCTTATTCGGGACAGGAATCTTCAGATGCTAACAGATTCTTGTTTGGAAGGCCAATTTTCAAATGATGAGGGAACTGAGTTAGTACGTTTGGCTTCACGATGTTTGCAATATGAACCCCGAGAGCGTCCTAATCCAAAGTCATTGGTTGCTGCTTTGGTTCCTCTTCAGAAGGATACAGAGGTTGGGCTTTCTTTATTAACTTGTCTCACAAATATTCTTATTGGTTGGTCTTTTCTTTCAAAGTGGTTGTGCTATCAAATTTTGAGATTTGGATACTATTTCTATCTCTTCTTGTCAGAGACTGGAATTCAGAATTGGAAAGCAAAAAAATACAGCCATATTTAGTGAAAGTTTTTCTTTCTAGAGCCTCAGTTATGAATATAATTTATATCATACCATTTGTCTGTGGGGTGTACCATTAATAAGCCTTGAAGAGTGTTTTCACTGGGTCCGTTGATGATGGCATAGGATCCATACCTCATTCTATTATTATGTGCAGTTTTTACTCATTATAGACATCCTTAACAGCAACTCATGATTAGTCAATGTCTCTGCTTGTATTGAAACATTGCATGGTACTTTTTTTTTGCAATATAGACTAAACTTTAAGTTCTGCAGGTTGCTTCTCATGTATTGATGGGTATACCACATGGTGCAGCAGCTTTACCTAATCTATCACCACTTGGTGAAGCCTGTGTGAGGAAGGATTTGACGGCCATACATGAGATCTTAGAAAGCATTGGATATAAGGATGATGAAGGTGCAGCAACTGAGGTTCGTTTCTCATATATCATATTTAAGGAATAGCTAAGTCTCGTTATATCATTATATCATTATATCATATAGCTTTTCTGAACTTCTGCGTAATCAACTGTAATAAAGTTTCAGCTTTTTCAATTCTGTCAATATTTGTATTATGTCACAAATTCGTTTTAGTTTATGATGGTGGTGTTGCGTTGACCTGACATGTGTCGATCCTTCAATGGTATTTGTGCTCAGTAACATGAAGGCGTATGTCTAGCCCCGAAAAAAAGAACATTGAGAATGCATGAGAGCTATTTATAACTGTAGTTTCCATAATTCCTGGTGTCATAGAAGCAATCAAGCCATGCCATTTTGTTATGTGGCATAAAATCAACCAGTGAGCTATATATTTAACCTCTTTGTTTTATTCTTTGTGTGACCCATGTTTGCTGTTTAAGTGTTTGCTTTTTTACTTGCAGTAGGCACATTTTAGATAATTGTTATCTGCATTTTTTTAAATATTTAAATGATGACTGTTAAATGTGGTTTTACTCATGCAAACTCTGTCAAGCATCAACCACAGTGATAATCAGTACTCACATATAGTATGCTAATTGGTGTTTTTTCTAGCTTTCAGCTTTCATTCCAAATGTGGACCAACCAGATGCAGGAGACATTAAACTCAAAGAAAAAGGGTGACGTTGCTTTCCATCATAAAGATTTCAGGGCTGCAATTGAGTGTTACACCCAGGTCAGATTTAAAGAATATGTAGTATCACCATATAAACCAGATTTGGCAATCAAGTCTCAGACTTGCATAATCATATAAATTAACTTTACTGTATATGATAAAGCCTATGGAGTGGACTAAACTAAAGTATCTCCTGTTGCTAATGGAGCTGAACTGAAGTAAAGATTGAAATTAATTGAGATTTTTTTACCCTTAATAAGTTCTGTTTTAGGAAGAAAAGAAGTAGAATGGAAACTAGACAAGAAGATTCTTATCTTTCCTTCCCATCTACATACAATACCATACTAGGGAAAGTGGCACCCTTTCTGTCCTTTTGATATATGCCAAATCGCTAAGCTGTTCACCTTGTAGACTGAGGAGATATAGAAAGTGTTTTGTGTGTGATTCATAAGATTATTTAGTAACACCAGTATATTAGTATATTTCACTTAGCCTGCCTCTCCCATGACTTTCCAGACCAACCAACGACTTATGGCTCTTGTATAAAAGGGATCCCTCAGGGCAGCCTGGGTCCTCATTTTCCCCTTCCTCTGTATAAAACAGGCATAAATGGTCAAGAAGGGTGAAGAGGAGGACAGTGAGTCTGTACCATCAGAGAAATGAAAATACAATGAGACATTAGATATTATTTTACAATTTTATAGTGCAATATGACATTTTACTTATGCGGATTTTTTGCTGGAGGTCGATGTAGGGTACTGAGCCTAGCTTTTACTCAACGTGGGGCCAAAATCCTGCTGTAATTGGCCCTGTCTACTTGGTTAAAGCTTGGCCCTGGTACTAACCCTTTTTCCAATTAACAGTCCTTGAGGATACAGAAAAAGAGACGTTTATAAGTCATTCTCAATTTGATTTGTCCTGTTATTATAGAAAATAGTTTTGATGGTTGAATAATAAGAGATGTTTCCTGGAAAAGGTTACAGTAACCATATTTTGATTGGTATCTCAAACCCGACTCTTTATGATGTTGGTTTCAGTTTTTTTTTGGGTCCACCAGGTATACTGATCCTTAAATCTTTTACAGATTGAAAAGGCAGCATTTCTGCCATCTATCTGACAGTTTGTTCATTTAACCTGCAGTTTATTGATGTTGGAACCATGGTTTCCCCGACAGTTTTTGCACGCCGTAGTTTGTCTTATGTGATGAGTGACATGCCACAGGAAGCCTTGAATGATGCATCACAAGCCCAAGTGATTTCCCCGGTTTGGCACATTGCATCATATTTGCAAGCTGCAGCTCTTTTTGTACTTGGAAGGGATGATGAGGCACAAGTAGCCCTCAAAGAGGGTTGTGTACTAGAAAGTAAAAAGAACACAACCGCTTGACAATTACAAACGGGAATCTCTTTCCCTTCTAATGAACTGCTCTTTTTCTGAAAGGATGAGCACGGGGGTGCAAAACACAAGGATCTCAATTTTTTGGGCAAATTAATCAGAGGCTAATCAGTCTTGAAGCAGGCTGCAGAGTCGAAAACAGAAGTGATCCTTCTATTTGCATGACTGGTTCATTTGTTGTCATCTTGAAGCATTCTTTTGCAATATATACTATTGGATGGGGTTGGTTGGTTTGGTCTCTTTGGTGGGAGTAAAGGGGAAAACTTTCATTGTTGTTTTTTGAAAAATTTGCCCTCATTGTTGTTCACTGACCTGTTTCCAATACAACAATCTTGGGAAATAATTATGATGCATTTTGAAATATTATATTTTGTAAAGGATCCAATCTGTTGTTTGTTGTTGTTGCATTGAAAGGGTGAATAGAGAAAAAAAGAATAGAAAAATGCCACTGGCATGTTTGTAATTTTATGTACCGTGCTTCTGCTCATTTTTAATAAAATTTGTTGTTTACTGTGAAATTTTGTGTCTGGTCTGGTGTTAGCAATTTGCATTCAAAAATCAGTAAATTATAAAGAAATTTAATAATCTAGGAACACACAAAGAAATTACAAAAGCCAAGGAACAACGCTGGACGCCAACGTTGTCGAATATGACTGCATGAGGGAATAAAATGTAAAATGGAGGGCCCAACCGGGTTCGAACCGGTGACCTCTTGATCTGCAGTCAAATGCTCTACCACTGAGCTATGGACCCAACTGTTGATAATGTTCACCCGCAAAAGATCTATAAACGCTACAGATACCGGTGATTTCAAAAAGTAGCTAGCTTTTTATTTTTTCTTTATAAATAATTTTATTTAAATGTTGCTTTATAATTATGAATTGCAATAATATTTCTATTTAAAATATTCTCTATATATTTCATTCCCATATATTAATGGCTTCAATGGTGTCATGTGACAACATGCATAGCAAAAACGTTTCTTCCTCGGAAGCCATTACAATACTTGACTGCAAACCTAGCAGTGATGGTCTAAAATAGCCTCTTTTTTTCCACCATTCAAATTTTCTTGTTGACTTCTAGAATCAAATTAAAAGATTATTACGTTTTATAAATTACTCTTAGTATTACTTAATGAGTAAAGCCACAACTGTTAGAGTTTGTATAGGAAAAATACACTTTCATTTAGTCCCACATTGGAAGCGAGTTATTTCATTCCATGATTTATAAGCACAAACACTTTAAAAATACTGAATATGATATGGGTTTAATAAAGACAAAATTAGGCTTCATCTTATTTTTTCCTCATATAGAACCAACTTCATCTCATGGAAGGCCAAATGATGTAAGAATCGAGTCATAATTGAAGTAAGGAATTTATTTTATAAAAAAAAGGTGTAGCCGTGCGGCTATACTATTTTTTATTTTTCTCGCAAAACTGTATAGCCGCATGGTTGCACTCGGTTTTTTAAATTTTGTTTAAAAAAATAGTATAGACGGGCAGCTATACTTGGGTTTTTAATTGGTTTTTTAGAAAAATTGTATAGCCGGGCGGCTATACTGTTAAACTATTATATTGAAGGGCTTGTCCAATATAGATCCATACATTTTCTATTTCCTAGAAATATACCCATCACTCTATAAATCTATGTGTAAAACCCAATTTCAAATTTAAATGACCAGTAGGATATAAGAGGTCGTAGTATTTCTATGTTTTTACATCGTTGCCACTAAACTTCATATTTTATTTATAATTTATTTCAAGCATTTCATTAACTGCCATAATTGTAATTAATATACTCCCTATTAATAGCATATCAATCACCCCATTTCTTTTAGTTGTCATTCCCTCTCACATCTCCCCCTAAAAAAAAAAAAAAAAAAAAAAATAAATTACATATCCAATAATGTACCTATGAAAAATATAATATAAATATATACATATAAAATATAGGTATATTATTTACCCAAAAAAAAAAGTCAGTTACTTTGTAATTGCGTATATTTTTCATAATTAAAAATAGGTACACAATAATTTATATAAATATAGGTACATTATTTGGAGAGGAAAGATAGGTACATTATTAGAGGAAAAAAATTGGTAAGTTATTTGGAGAGAGAAAATAGGTTCATTTAAAAAAATTACTTTTAATAAAACAAATAATAGGTACTTTATTCAGAGAAAAAAGGCTATATTATTTAGAGAAAAAAATAGGTACATTATTTAGATAAATAATAGGTACTTTATTCGTAGTAGGTATATTATTCAAATGGTAGGTACATTGGATGACATATAATACCTAAATCCTAATTGTAAGTACATTAAAATTAATGTAGGTATATTGGAATAGATAATTATGTACACTTTTCATACTAGGTAAATTATCTTTTCATAAAACAAATAGGTACATTATTTTTTCAACATAATTAGTATGTACAATTTTATTCATAAACAATTATAAAGTGGATTATTAGTCATGTATAATTCATAAAAAGAAAATAACATAAACATTTTATTAAACAAACCGATTACCCAAATTTGAATTTATTGTTAATTTTTTTTAAAAATGTTCCAAAATTAATTCCTACATCCATTACAACCATTTGGAGATCTTTCCAAATTCAACATCTGTCATTATATACAATCCAATTAAAAACTGTTTTCATATTGATTCCTACATTAATATACAAAATGCAATAATGGCTTAGTTGGGGGTATTTTTGGAATCTAAAAAGTACAATAAATCAGATTTTATGCTTAATTAGGTAACTTGCTGAGTTGGATCCTAGTCATGGGTTTTTACTTATACAAATTGGGTATTATTTATAAGAACAAAAAGTGAAGGGTTTTAAGTATGGCAAATTGAATTTGAAGGGTGTAAGCCAAATTTAGGGTATCGCCGAACGGCTATACCTTAAAAATTTCTTAAAATGCAAGGAAACATGTCATGACGAAATCTCGTCAGCAAAGGTCTTCGCCAGCAAATATTTGCCAGATTAGATCTGTTCCAACGAAGTTTACTTGTGCCAACGAATTGACAAAGTTTCGCCGGGAGATATTTCTGCCGACGGAAGTTTGTCGAGAGAGGTGTAATTTTTTATTTTATTTTAAAAACTTTGTTTCTTTAATTCAATAAAATTTTATTTTAAATTTTGCTTTTAGTGACTAAATAGTATGTTAGCCTTATTTAATTACTTCCATTAGTAATTATGTTTTATTTATTATTTATTTAGTGAATAATTAGTATTAAATATTTTAATTATTTTTTTTTCCGGTATTAAATATTTTAATAAACTTCATCAATTATATTACTTGATAAATAGTAATTTATTTATTTATTACGTTTTATTTAATAAAATATTTGGAGTTAATTTCATTTTGGTACCCTGAAGTTGTACTCTTAAGGCCCGTTTGTCCCCATGTTTTCAATTTTAACAATGCGGTACCTCCACATTTAAAATTTGTTACAATGTGGTTCTACTGTTAAAAGATCTGTTAAGTGATGACGTATCATTTATGGGGAATAAAAAAAAATATATATATATATATGTATATTGAATTTTCAAAGATGCTCCTTGAGGCCTTTGGGGCTCTTGGGCTCTGTTGATTTAATTAATATTTTTTTATTAATTAAAAATTCATTTTTAGATAAAATCATTACATATATTTCGTCTTGTTTTATTATGTTATTTGGTTTTTAAACTAGTCTACTATTTTTATGAAACAATCTTATTTTTCCTCATATAGAACCAACTTCATCTCATGGAAGGCCAAATGATGTAAGAATCGAGTTATAATTGAAGTAAGGAATTTAATTTATAATATATATATAGACGGGCAACTATACTCAGGTTTTTAATTGGTTTTTTTAGAAAAATACAATTCTACTGAACGAGTATATCCGAGCGGCTATACCTTTAAAATTTCTATTAATAGGGTACAGCCGTGCGGCTATACTTCTAAATTTATTTATTTATTTATTTTTGTGGATGAAATGGAAAAAAAAAAAAAAAAAAAAAAAAAAAAAAAAAAAAAAACACCCACCCCAAAAAAACCAACACAAATCAAACGGCCTCAAGTGACCCCCAACAGATCATCAGCTAACGCAAAGCTAGCCCAGATAGGAGTTGAAACAAAAAACTGAATATCCAAGTCTAGATTATGGCCCCATTTGGCAAGGCAATCCGCCAAACCATTCTTCTCTTTGAAAATATGCTGGATATTCCAACTCTCAAATTGCATAAGCATCTTCTCACAGTTTGAGAGCAAAGCAGCTAGAGGATGAAAACATAGAGAACCCCTTTGTTGGAAAAGATTCACAGCGATATGAGAATCCATTTCTATGAGGATCTTGGTGAAGCCCTTTGCTACTGCTAATCGGAGGCCAAACAACAAACCCCAGATTTCAGCATCCAAAATACGGCTCTTCCCCAAATTCACAGCAAAACCTCCACACCACTCCCGAAAGCAATCTCTAATCACACCATAAGCACCAATCTTCCCAGAAGCATTCATGCAAGTGCCATCCACATTGAGCTTAACGCACCCACTTCTAGGCGGCTCCCACCTTAGCATAACTTGTGTTCTAGGCACATTCCTACAATTCACACTTAGAAGCCTTAACCCAATCCAAAACAGTAGCACAAATAATCTTCCTAGGATCACAAGGCAAGACCTTAGCATCATTAAAAATGTGTTGGTTACACCACTTCCATACATACCAACAAGTGAAAACAAACATGGTATTCCAAAGGGACCTCCCTTCCCACATAGCTTTAGAAAAGAGATTGCTCCGAAGCCAAGAAGGAAGATTAGATAAGAAAAAACCATGGAATTTACTTGGAGGCAGAATAGTAAGCCATACCTCCTTAGCACGCCCACAATTCTTAAGAGTGTGAATGATATTTTCAGAGTGCCAACCACATATAGAGCAAGAGGAGTCCAAAGCCAAATGTCTCCTAACTCTTTGCTCATTAGTTAGGATCTTACCTTGGAAAACAAGCCATAAGAAAACTTTCAACTTAGGAGAGAGAGACATACTCCACAAACCCTTCCAACAAGCATCATACCAATTAGAACCACCATGGATCAACTGAAAAGCAGATTTAACAGTAAAGATGCCATTAGAAGTAGGCCTCCATATATGAGCATCTTGACTCTTACCTTCAAAACCAACAGGAAAGCAGGTGATCTTTTGCACCATATCCTCATCAAGAACAGTTCTTAACTTCTCAACATCCCACCACCCTTCTTTAAAGAAATTAGAGACCTTGCAGTCCAAATAAATCCCAGACTGCACCCCTGCATAATGTAACAAAGGGAGATCAGCCACCCAATGGTCCTTCCAAAATTCACCTTGTCCCCATTCCCCACTCTCCAAACCATTCCCTTTCTCAGCAACTCAACACCATAGAGAACACTTCTCCAAGTAGCAGAACAATCTTGCTTGGAGACCCCAGGAGTATCTAAGATATAGCAGTCTTTTAGGTACTTCCTTTCATAAATTTGAGCTCATGCCCTTGATCACGAGTGCGCATCCTCCAACCAATCTTTGCTAAAAGAGCCCTATTCATGTTTGCAGTTTCTTGAATCCTAAACCACCCCTACATTTGGGATGACACACCAAATCCCACTGGCATAAATGTACCTCATGTTTTTTTCCACTGCGTCCCCAAAAAAAATCCCTATTAATTCGATCAAGATCTTCACAAATGCTACCTGGTAACTTTATAGCCTGGATCGTATACACAAGTATGGAAGATGTGACAGCTTGGATAAGGGTAGCTCTGCCAGCTAAGGAGAGACACTTCATTTTCCATGCAGTAAACCTACTTTGCACTTTATCAAGCAGACCATTATATGTAACTTTATTCACACGACTATGCAAAAAGGGCATACCTAAATATTTTTTCCAAATTCTTTGTGAGGGGAGAGCCAATCTCTTTCGCCACCACTTTATAAGTATTTGGTGAGCAAAAAATTGCAGACTTAGCGAAATTCACAGTCTGACCAGAAACACTACAAAATAAATCCAAACAATCTTTCATCACATGAGCTTGACAGGGAGTAGCTTCAACAAAAAGCATAAGGTCATCTGCAAAGAACAAATGTGACGCACTAGGACCATTTTGAGAGGTTTTGATATGGTACCATAGTTTTCTCTTAACAACATCAACAATAATATGAGACAGTTTCTCAATACAAAGAACAAAAAGGTAAGGGGATAGAGGATCCCCTTGGCGAATGCCATTGCTAGGAGAAAAAGGGTCAGTCAGTTCACCATTGATGCAAATATGATATCTCACAATAGACACACACTGCATAATAAGCTGAATAAAACTAGTAGGAAACCCCACTTCCAAGAGAACAGACTCAATAAAGCCCCAATTAAGCCTATCATAGGCTTTGGAGAGGTCAATCTTCCAAGCAAACATCCCTTTTTTCCCCTTAGCTAACTTAAACTTGTGCATAAGCTCTTGAGCAATCATTATATTATTAGTTATATGACGGCCTGACACAAAACTAACTTGATTGGGACTAATCAAGTTGGGCAAAATAGTGCGCATATGAGAAACCAAAATCTTAGAGATGACTTTATACAAAGTGTAGCACAAACTGATTGGTCTCAACTAAACCATAGAGTGAGGATTCTCCACCTTGGGAACCAAAGTAATTAAAGTGGCATTAAGCTCCATAGGGAATCTACTCTTATGAAAATCTTCGTACGTCATAGCATATATATCAGAAGCACAGAAATCCCACTGATGTTGATAAAAACAAGCAGGAAATCCATCAACACCAGGGACCTTAAGATCACCAATATCAAATAAACTATCTTTCACTTCTAATAAATCAATTTTTTCCACCAAGGAGGCAATCTCACCATCAATGACTGAAGGTAAAAAACAAGGAAGACTCACAGTAATAGCAACTTGAATAGGAGCAAAGAGTTTGGAAAAAAAACTCACAGCCAACTTTTTAATACTTGCAGCATCCTCCACCCAAACCCCTTCATCATCCTAACCGTTCAATTCTATTTCTCCTTCGTCTAATTATAGTTGTGAGATGAAAAAACTTAGTATTTCTATCTCCTTCTTGAAGCCATCTCAACCTGGATTTCTGATGCCAAAATTGAGCTTCTTGATCCAGAATAGAATTAAACTCATCGTGCAATTGCACTTCCAAATTACTCAGAAAAGAATTAGGCCATTGCAAAGAGCTCTCTGGATCCTAGACAACCTAGCCAACACCCTTGCTTTCTTTTGTCTAAGATGCCTAAACACATTTTTATTCCACAACTTAAGGGGCTCAACAAAAGCACAAGACTTATCGAAAGCAGAGCCAGAAAAACCCAACCAATTCTCAGAAACAAACTGACTGAACTCAGCATGCTTCAACCACATTGCCTCAAACCAAAATGGCCGTAAATGAGGAGTATACAGAATTGAAGACTGTGAGCAAATCTTAGTTGGACTGTGATCAGATTTAGTTCGAGGCAAGTCCCTCACATAAGCTTCAGCAAACACACGTCTCCAAAGAGTATTACAAACAACCCTATCAAGCCTTTCCAAGATCCTCTTGTTGGTCCAAGTGTACTTAGGGCCAATAAAATGCAATTCACACATTTCATTCTCATCAAACCAAGCTTTGAAACCTCTTAATCAACACAAAGGAACTCCACCTAACTTGTCATCAAAATGAAGCAAATCATTGAAATCCCCAGCCAAGAGCCAAGGCATATCATGACAGCTAGCGACGAAATTAAGATACTCCCAGAGTTTAGCCCTTTTAACCTCACAAGGCTTAGCATAAATAGCTGAAAAAAGCCAAGGAAATTGCCCAGGCCAAGAAACACACGCAAAGATAGCTTGATCTCCACATTCACCTTGGAATCATTCCAAAGCAGCCATAAACCCCCAGAAGAACCCACAAGATCAGCAATCTCAAAACAAGGAAAACCCAAAGACTTAACCATTGACACAACTTTGGAGCCACTTATCCTTGGTTCACACACAAACAAAATCTCCATATGATGAACATGAATCAACTCCATCATATTATTCCTGAACTTAGTGCCCGAAGCACCCTTTGCATTCCAACAAAGAATATTCATAAAAAAATCAACAAAAAGTGAATAACCTAAAGGCTAACCCTTAACAGTCAAAAGTCATATCTTCACTTGTGGTGAAGGTATTATGTGCCAAAGCCCCATTAGGAGGGTCCTCATGACTCGCCGCCAGGTCTATTTCTCTGTTGGAATCAAGCCCTCCTGAGCAGAAGAAGCCAGAGAATCAACATTGACATAAGTATCCACCTCTTCCTCAGTATTAGAACAATTAATGGCTATGTTGGGTGGTTGATGGCCAAAGTGATAGACCCCTGTAGCTCGATATGCATTCTGATCATTCATCCAATTATTCAATTGGTCAGTCAAAGATATTTTCCCACCAAATTTCTTACCGTCATAAACCAGATTACTTTTATTCAGCAACAACCCAACTTTAGAATAGCTAGCATCCTTCACCTTATCAACAGTAGCATGCACTTTCCCATTTTCCTTGACATTCATATTAGAAATGTCATTCAGGACAGTTCTAGCTTTACCATGATTAGCCTTAGACTTGGTCCAAACTTTCGATCCCTTTCTAACATCTTTAATCGAAGATCCCAGTTGCTCTGTGAAAGTTTGAGTAGCCTTAACCCTCTCAGTTCTACCATTAATCCCAAAATTCTCACCCACCTGTCTCAACGTATCAAATCTAGAACCCGTATTTCGACCTCCATTGCCTTCAACTTCCTGAGTCACACATTTCGGTCTTCATCGAGTTGGAACATTCATCCATGGCCCACGCAATTCTCAATACCATCATTCATACCTTCTTTCCCCATTACAGTATCACCTCCTACCAAACCATCATTACCCATATTGGATCCAGCACTAGTCTTCTCCACAAAGGCAGCATCTGGCACATCACAGTGTTCCCTTTTGTGACCATATCGACCACACATATAACAAATATCTGGAAGGCCTTCATACTCCACATTGTACCAAACATTGTTAATTTGAACAAATGCCTCAAAAGGCCGAGACAAGTCCAACTCTACACAAAGTCATGCAAATTTCCCCCGATTATGAGAAGTAGTGAGAGCATCAATCTTCAACAACTTCCCCAACAAATTCCCAATTCTTTTCAAAGCCCACACATCAAAACACTCCAATTGAATCGCAGAAACACAAATCCAAGTAGCCATTCGAGTGATCTTCGCAATTGCATGACAAAACCCAAGCCCCCATTTCTGCATAACCAAATATTGGCCAGCAATGATCCATGGTTCCCCAGTCAAAACGAAATTAAGATCCTCCTTAAGTTCAAAATGAACCACAAATTAATCATTGACCAAATCAATCAGTTTCCACCCTCCATTTAGGCCCCACTTTTGTTGAAGTCGAGCATGGAGATAGTTGTAGGTATGCGATCTCCCAAGGAGTCTGATAATAAGAGCATTCTGCCAAGGTTTGAAAAGACAATCCATGGCTCGATCAAAAAATTGGATGCACAGCCCATGATCACCATGCGAAATAGTCACATACTCACTGTCATTCAAACCCTCATATTCTGCCTCCAAAGAATTAACATTAATTCTAACATTTCGAACCAAATTTACCTTATTCATGAGCTCATCCCTGAAGCTCTCAGAACTAGAAGCCGATTTGGGTAGCACTATGTCCGCAGATGGCGGCGCAACCATACTAGGCGCATACATCATCTCACTATCCACATTCCCAACGTCCGTTGTGCGACTTTGCTTGGGTAACCTGCAATACTTAAGAAAAACTCTAGACGAGCCTTCCTCTATGGAGAAATGAAGCCCAAAACCACAATCAATAGCAGAAAACACTTAGATCTACACCTGTTAACCGCCTTAGATGGCAGTTCCCAGTCGGCAAAACGAAAACTCAGAAAAACTGGGCTTGCGCATGAAGCTCGTGTAAAAAATGATTGTCTGAAGGTTTGTTGTTCTATAAAATTTTTAAAATGCAAGGAAACTTGTCCCGACGAAATCTCATAGGCAAAGGTCTTTGCCGGATTAGATATGTTCCGACGAAGTTTACCTGTGTCGACGAAATCCACCTGTGGCAACGAATTGTCAAAGTTTCGCCAAGAGATATTTGTGCCGACGGAATTTTTTCGGGAGAGGTGTAATTTTGTTTTTTTTTATGTAAAAACTTTGTTTCTTTAATTCAATAAAATTTTATTTTAAATTTTGCTTTTAGTGACTAAATAGTATCTTAGCCTTATTTAATTACTTCCATTAGTAATTATGTTTTATTTATTATTTATTTAGTGAATAATTAGTATTAAATATTTTAATTAACTTCATAAATATATTACTTGATAAATAGTAATTTATTAATTTTTATTTAATAAATATTTGGGGTTAATTTCATTTTGGTACCTTGAAGTTGTACTCTTAAGGCGCGTTTGTCCTCATGTTTTCAATTTTAACAATGCGGTACCTCCACGTTTAAAATTTGTTGCAATGTGGTTTTACTGTTAGAAGATCAGTTAAGTGATGACGTGTCATTTATGGGGAATAAATAAATAAATAAACAAATATATAGATATATATATATATATATATTGAATTTTCAAAAGATGGGCCTTGAGGCCTTGGGGCTCTTGGGCTCTGTTGATTTAATTAATATTTTTTTATTAATTAAAAATTCATTTTCAGATAAAATCATTTCATATATTTCGTCATGTTTTATTATGTTATTTGGTTTTTAAACTAGTCTACTATTTTTATGAAACAATCTTATTTTCCCTCATTTAGAACCAACTTCATCTCATGGAAGGCCAAATGATGTAAGAATCGAGTCATAAATGAAGTAAGGAATTTATATATATATATTTATTCTACATAAATGACACGTCATCACTTAATGGATCTTATAACAGTAGAACCACATTGCAACAAATTTTAAATGTGGAGGTACTGCATTGTTATAATTGAAAAGATGGGGACAAATGCGCCTTAAGAGTACAACTTTAGGGTACCAAATTGAAATTAACTCCAAATATTTTATTAAATAAAAATTAATAAATAATAAATTACTACTTATCAAGTAATATAATTTATGAAGTTAATTAAAATATTAATACTAATTATTCACTAAATAAAGAATAAATAAAACATGATTACTAATGGAAGTAATTAAATAAGGCTAAGATACCTGTCATGTTCGTTGTATTTTGTCTCTTTCCTTATGTTGCTCCCTGCAGACTTCTCTATTTTCAGCACCCTTATTGGAGGTGGATGGAGCTGGTGTGTTTTGTGGGTTCTCTATTTCTTTATGGAGACTTGGTATGTTCTTTGTCGAATGCTCTCACTATTCTGTGGCTCTGCAAATGACTATGATTTCATAGCAAGACTCTTTTGATAGTTAGGTTGTGTTGAAATGTCGTTGGAGGTCTTTGTGTTAGTGTTGTTTTGCTTTGCTTTTGTATTGGTCTAACGTGACTGTATCGGACTTTCTTGTTAGTCCATGACATGTGTGGTACTCTTTCCTACCTAGGGTTTGTTTCTTAGGAAGGATTTAACGAGGTGTCGTTCTATGTACGCTATTTCGGTTCTATGAATGAATTCCATTTCCAAAAAAACAAAAACTCAATAATTATACTCAATATTGCAAAACTCATTTAACATTATTATGAAATAATTACAACAAATTACACAGGGAATGCCTTTTACAACAAATTACACAGGGAATGCCTTACATAAATTACAACCATGAGTGCATATTCACAAGAGGAAAATGACCACAAACCCCATGAATGGCTTACCATAAGCATCTTATTAATAACCCATAAAACAAAGAAAAATATCAAGCACAAGCACAAATTATGGAGCCCAATACATAATTCAATTCAAATTTCTTCCTCGCCAAGCATCCCCAAAAAATTTCAGTTTTTTTTTTTCCTGACCCCTCCATCTCAATCTCCACCTCTTCCTCCTCATACTCATCTCCCTCATCCTGCGCCACAGCATCCTGGTACTGCTGGTACTCAGAAACCAAGTCATTCATGTTGCTCTCTGCCTCAGTGAACTCCATCTCATCCATGCCTTCCCCTGTGTACCAATGCAAGAAGGCCTTCCTCCTAAACATGACCGTGAATTGCTCCGAAACACGGCGAAACATCTCCTGGATCGAGGTTGAGTTTCCCATGAATGTGGAGGACATGGCCAACCCAGTTGGTGGAATGTCACAAACACTTGATTTCACATTGTTTGGGATCCACTCGACAAAGAAGGAGGAGTTTTTGTTTTGTATATTGATCATTTGCTCATCCACTTCTTTTGTGCTCATTTTGCCGCGGAAGACGGCGGATGCTGTGAGGTAGCGGCCGTGGCGAGGGTCGGCGGCGCACATCATGTTCTTGGCGTCCCACATTTGCTGTGTGAGCTCTGGTATTGTGAGGGCCCTATAGTATTGGGAGCCCCGAGAGGTTAAGGGCGCGAAACCGACCATGAAGAAGTGGAGGCGGGGGAAGGGGATGAGGTTCACGGCTAGCTTTCGGAGGTCGGAGTTGAGTTGGCCCGGGAATCGGAGGCAGCATGTGACTCCACTCATGGTTGTGGAGATCAAATGGTTCAGATCACCAACTGTGACATGTGAAATATGCAAATGCAGGGTTTAGTTTTGGAAGTTGTAAAGTGTTTTCTCTTGCTTGGTTTACAAGTTATGTTGTCAAACTCTCAATTTAAATCAAATTTGGTACTATTTGAGATTGACGGTCTAACAACATAATATGTTAGTAAGTCTGAATAAGAGAAAATGCATGTTTTAGTGGATATGTTGTCTTGTTTGTCAATATTTAAGGTAGATTAGATTCATGGTTTAACAACATAACATGTTATAGTCTAATAGAAAAAATGCGTACTTTAGTAGAAATGTTACATTGTTTCTCAATATATAACGTGTTATTATATTGTCGGACTCTTAATTTGAGGCATATATTTACACAGTTTCACATATTTAATGATCTAGATTGAAAGTCTAGCAACATAATATGTTAGATGATCTGAAAACTTGCAATTGAATTGAACTGATGAACAATAAACATGCATATAAATGACTAAAAAGTAATTACTTACAGCTTGGATTTGTGAGCTTGAGAGTTCTGAAGCAGATATCATAGAGGGCTTCATTGTCAAGGACCATACACTCATCTGCATTTTCCACCAATTGGTGAACAGATAGGGTGGCATTGTAGGGTTCAACCACAGTGTCAGAAACTTTTGGTGAAGGGAAGACTGAGAAAGTCATCATCATTCTATCTGGATACTCCTCCCTGATCTTTGATATCAGTAGGGTCCCCATCCCAGACCCTGTTCCACCTCCCAGTGAATGGCAAATCTGGAACCCTACAACAAATTAAACCCTCAATTAATTCAATTAGCAAAAAAATTAAGTTTAATAAAAATCAAAATTAAGACCAAATCCAAATATACCTTGCAAACAATCGCAATTCTCTGCCTCTTTTCTAACCACATCAAGAACAGAATCAATCAACTCAGCTCCTTCTGTGTAATGCCCTTTAGCCCAGTTGTTTCCTGCTCCATTTTGGCCAAACACAAAGTTATCAGGCCTGAAAATTTGCCCATAAGGACCTGTTCTTAAGCTGTCCATGGTCCCTGGCTCAAGATCCATCAAGACTGCTCTAGGCACATATCTGCCACCATTTGCTTCATTGTAGTACACATTCACCCTCTCAAGCTGAAGGTGAGAATTTCCATTGTATTTTCCAGTGGGATCAATCCCATGCTCATCACACATAACCTCCCAGAATTTGCCTCCAATTTGGTTTCCACATTGCCCAGCTTGAATGTGCAAGATTTCTCTCATTTTCTAAATTGTGCAAGTAATTATTCAAAAAGAAAAAAAAAGGCTTTTTGGGGATGAAGATGAATGAAAGGTTGAGAGGTGGAAGAGAGGAAAGAACAATGGAAAAATTATGAAATGGTGATGGGTTTTTGTAGGCCTTTGTTTAAAGCCTTGTTCAAGTCTCTTCTTGATATTTTTGTGTGTCAATAAACTTCATTTAATAATTTCATGTGGGTTTGTTCAGGGAGGCATGTCAAACTTCCAACAAGAGTTGTGAGCTGGATAAGGAAAGCGACAACAAGATTCATGCTTGCTCTTCTGGCCACATTCAATCTCAACTATCAAAACCCATCCCCTTCCCAATATTTGATTTCACTTCTGTCATCAAGATTCCAAAAATACACCATTTTCTTAACTTGGTGATTTTTTTTTTGCTCTATCTAATTTGGGTTAATTATTTAGCACATTATGAGGACCATTGTCAGTAATGCTGCCCTATCCTCTATTTTAATATATAATCAGGATATATTATCCGAGAGAGAAATGTTATATTCAAAACTAAAAGATGACAACAACACACATTCATATATAGAGGCAAATGCTAAGAACAGTTGTTTACGTACACGTAAATTATTGTCAGTCATTGATGAATGTGAATTTTATAGTAAATTTCTCATGTCAAGCAAAGCTCTTTTTCTTTTTGTTGTTGTTACTTTATTCGAAATCATCAAGATTCCAAAAATACACCATTTTCTTAACTTGGTGATTTTTTTTTTGCTCTATCTAATTTGGGTTAATTATTTAGTACATTATGAGGACCATTGTCAGTAATGCTGACCTATCCTCTATTTTAATATATAATCAGGATATATTATTTGAGAGAGAAATGTTATATTCAAAACTAAAAGACGACAACAACACACATTCATATAGAGGCAAACGCTAAGAACAGTTGTTTACGTACACGTAAATGATTGACAGTCATTGATGAATGTGAATTTTATAGTAAAGTTCTCATGTCAAGCAAAGCTCTTTTTCTTTTTGTTGTGGTTACTTTATTCAAAATTTTAATTTTCTTATTTCATGATATGCCATGTACCAATAAAAAGCTTGAGTTTTCATAAACAGATAGTTTCATTTAGATATTGTGTAATGGTTTGATTTGATCTGCTACCCTGAGATTGTGAAACGTGCACTGAAGAAGACAAAGTAACTTAATAGATTTATGTTAGCATTGATCTAATACCAATTAGAACCAGACATGTTATCTTTCATTTTGTTTTATTTCGTTGACCCTATGGTAACAAGAATTATACAAAATACATCATTCACATACCAATCCCAATACCTGGATGGGGCACATCATAAGAGCTTCTATTCCACTGATATTTTCTAAGATTTTTCATTATTTTGATGACATCATCGATTTTTAGACGAAAAATTAACCGAATGAGTTTTACGAAAACAATTTGAAACTTTAAGGGGAGTTAAAATAATTCTGAAACCTGTTTGTGAAAATACGGAAAACCCTCACAGAGTGTCATTGTAATTAACTCTTTATTTATTTATTGTGATTTCCAGATCGAGGTAGGCAATTCATACGTATTCTGTAATGTATAAATGTACGTAAAAGAGAGAGAGAGAGAGAGAGAGAGAGAGAGAGAGAGAGAGAGAGAGTAGGGAACTGCAATTATTGGATACATATATGCATGGGAGATTCCTGTCAGTCTGTCTCATAATATATGCAATCTCTTTCCAACACCCCACTAGGACTAGTTGGCTCTTGCCTACTTGGAATCCAATGTCGATTGTTGAGCTTTCTTACAAAAACCAACTTATATAATTTCTTAAGCAGATGTAATTATTGATCAGAAGTAGGAATCCAATGAACACACTTGATCTAATTCTTATCTTCACATCATTGATCAGAAGAACTGATTAGAAAAAGAAACAGTCTGACATGTTCAACCTTGATGATTGAATTAGTGGTTGTCTAATATGGTATCAGAATCTCTAATTACTTTGTTGATTTGCAAAGTGAAGTGTAGTGACCGCCCTATATTTTTTGACAAAATAATTAGCTACATGGCTCTTTACATCTAGCTATATATATATATGTGTGTGTGTGTGTGAAATGTCTCAGTTGCCAGATGGGGCTTTTAGCTCATGTAACTACCTATTATTAAATAACATATAAATGATTCAATAATTCTGGAAGAAGAAATATATAAAAAAAGGTAGAAATAAGAGGGGGAGAAGATATCAGAAATATGCTTCAACAGATGTGCTAGTTGTTGGATCATATCTTTTGAAGTTCTTAAGAAAATGCCTGGATTTTGAATTGGTAAAGACTAAAGAGTTGGATGAACCATCCACATCTACGCTATCACCACCACATTATGTTGGGATGTTCCCTCCACAGCAACCATACACCCATCATTCCAGGTGTACAGATGCATTTGACACATCCCCTCACCCTTTCTCCTCTATTTCTGGTTCTTCATTATCCATATTAACCTATTACGAATTGCGGAGCCACCTTGTATTGGACTTAAGTTAGAGATGATATCAGTGTGTGATCCTGAAAGAAGCGGAGCCCGACATGAAATGACTGCCTAATTGACCATCCAAGTTAACAGAGTATGACTCTTAGATTCACAATGTAGGCTGTAGAGCATATAGATATTGATAAAGAGGTGAAGAAGCACAAACAAGCATGGACAAGAGCATGATCTGAAAATGTTGTATGGTTACTCTCCTACCACATGATGGTAAAGTAACCAGTTGGACAGGAAGCAGGAGCACATGGCACACATTGATAGCCACATGACATTGGGCATGGAGTGCCACAACATACCATTAGATTGTTACAAATGAATTGATATCAAGAAGTTTCCTTTATATTTCAGACATCCATACCTAAGATTACATCACAAATTACTCCTAGGGGAACATAAATCCCTAATATAAAAAATTAAAGTAGCTAACAACATAAACAACTAGCTCCAAAAGAAACTGCCATATTTCCTCATTCATTCTTATTTATGAATTAAAAAATAAATAATTCAGAAAATAAATATAAAAAACTGAGTGCACAGGCCAAATTCTTTTTGGTGAAGTTTGAGTCAGAAGAACTGAGATATATATGTTGCTATTTCAGATATTTCAACTTCTACTGCAGTGAATAGTAGAGCTCTATGATCAAGGAAAGAACTTGATCAATCAGTTGGAAGATGATCTGATTACATAAACTGGAGCAGTGTTAAATTAGATGATAAGCCCCATGCCTAAAACAACACAAAAAATTATTCCTTGGGGAACACAAATCTCTAATCATAAACTAAAATTAAAAAAACAAGGAGCAAATTTGCAAGGTTTACACACCAAATGGCTCCACTCAAGTGCCTCAACCTCAACTTCAGTATAGTAGCTCCTCAAAAACAGGGTCTATATTTTGTCCCCATTTCCTGTAATACAACTCCAGTAGCTTCTCAGCTGGTGTTACACCTGCAATATGATTAACTTTCAATATAAACACCAAATTCTCTCAAAAACGAAACCCGAAAACGAAACACCTATTAGAAATCTATTGCATATCAGGTATATTAACTCCTAATAACAAACCAGTTCTAGCCACCTCCTCCAACTCATTCAAGAAGCCTGTTTCATTAAAGCCTCTTCTTTCCAGGCCAGCCTGCACAAGAATAGATAATGCTATGACTCAGTCACACACATACATAAACACACTGGCTCTCTCTCTCTCTCTCTCACACACACACACACACACAAACAGAGCAGCAGCAGCTACATCCGCTGCAACTAGCAAGTAAAGAGCAATTCACCTTTGCGAACTGGACCACATCTTGAGCAACATGCTTTAGCAATCTACCACGAAACGGTGTCTTTAGACCAGTTTTGGGGACCTGCAAAATGTAATTTTACGATTATTAGATTTGGAAACTTAACCATTGTAGAATAATGTAGGAGACCTGTAGAAGAATGAGCTTTGTTCTGTAGAATATACATTTCACATCACCTGATCTCTCAGCATCTGTCTTTCTTCAGCGGTCCAGTCAGCTATCATGTCTAACACATTTTGTAGGGAAACCTCATCGTACAACAAACCAACCTGACATTTGAAAGAAAAACAAAATCAGCTGATGTTTCTGGGTTTTAGTAGTTAATAACGTAACCTGCAGAAGCCAGATAGCTGGCATTCAGATATGTTATATGATCACAGGTTACATATGAGCCAGCTAAAAAGAACATAAACGAAACGCCAGTACATACATAATGATAAATATTTACTCCATCTGTTATCAGAAGATGATGTTCAAAAGAAGTGAAATATACTCCAAAACTTCGTTTTCGGCTTGTGTATAGATCAGAATAAATGAACTAGTTCTGTATAAGGAGGCAGAGTGCGTCTTACCCAAAATGCAGGCAAGGCACGTAATCTACTCCAAGGTCCTCCATCAGCACCCCTCATCTCCAAGTATCTCTTCAGCCTGACCTGAATGGACGGTGAAATATGGCATAATTAGACAATACCAATAGCATCAGAAATACATAAGCTGATAATTAGATTATTAAAGCTAGTATGAACCTCAGGATATATAGTTCCCAAATGCATCTCCCAATCGTTCATGGTTGGCAATTCACCCGGAATGCAACGAAACTTTCCTGCCATGAAATCCTGCATGGATGCAACCATACTGTGTGTTTAACAAACTAGTAGCTTGAGACAAACAAATACTGCAGCTACAGAAGAAATCCGCAAAGTACAAGACTATAAAGGATAGATGGAAACCCGGAAGGTCATCCCGGTACAGTCGAAATGCCTCTTGTTCCGATAAACAAAGTACATGGGAATATCAAGAGCATATTCGACATACTTCTCGAACCTGTGTAAGAAAACTAATTTAAGAAAAGATAAAGAAGATAAAACCAACAAAATGCGTTTGAAGCTTTGTACACCTATGAATGCAGCATCAGGCAATTGATAAAGAAGGATCACAAAACAGTGTAGAAAAAATATTAATGTCTAGGAAACTGCTAGTTTTGGTTAAGATTCTTGAAAACAGTCTGTTACAGAACAGACAACTGAAACAAGTAAGAAGACTAGGATAAAAGGAGAACACATTGTGTTTTTCAACAGACATTGGATTACCTATTATCAAATAGAAGTAAACGTTAAAAACATTTGGACTCTGACATATTAAATTATAGTCACAGGAGAAACTAAGAACTTCTTTCATAAGTACAAAAAAGATCTTACCCAAAGGTGTCATCGAAAACAAAAGGAATCATGCCAGTGCGATCCTTGTCAGTATCAGTCCAAATTTGACTGTTACAAAAAGTTGAAGAATCAATGCATATTGAATGGATAGTAGAATGCATATGAGCAGAAAAAACAGAACCACATAAACCTTCTCATGCTAAGAGAACCATTTGGCTTTCCTTCAGTGAAAGGTGAATTTGCAAATAGAGCTGTTGCAATCTGTTTCAATTGTTGAAAGGTTAGATACTGTAAAGCAATAAATTTTAAACCAAAAACAAGAGAAACTGTCCTCACAGGCTGCAAAGCAAGACTAGCACGAAGTTTCTTTATCATGTCTGCTTCGGAACTGAAGTCCAGATTAACCTAAAAATAGTGAATAAAGAAGGTGTGCATGAGTTAAAAAATCCTCCTCCTGGGCAAATCAATGGAATATCACATTATGAAACATAGCTACCCTAGCAAGTATTCACAGCAAGAACCTGCTTAGATTAGTAAAAAGCATCTCACCTGTGCAGTGCAAGTCCTGAACATCAAATCGAGTCCGAGCGAGCCAACTTTGGGCATGTAATTTCTAATAATTTCATATCGTTCCTGAGACAAAATACTTGATCAGTATGTCAGTAATCAAAGTCCTAAAAACAAATATGTAAAGTGACCAAATTGGACGTCATACAAGACGACAGCATGAAATTTGAAAAGGAACATTTGAAATTAGAGCATGAAACCATAAGAGCTAGAGTAGAAGGTGATGTGCTTTGATGTTTCAGCATGTGCCATCTAAATTCCTTATCTAACTGAAATGTATTTCCATATGTTAAACAATACCTTGGGCATCATAGGTATATCTTTAACTTCCCATTTAGGCTGACAACCAATATCAAGCAATCCGATTCCCATTTCCTTTAGAACTGCTTTAACCTAGTAAAAAAGGAACATATGAACATGTTAACTCCAACGATAAAAACAGATATCCCATTTGTGAACTAGACTTTATTTAAAGAAAACTAACCTCACTTGCTGCATGTGAATTCAAAAGAAAAATTATTTTCACTGACCTGATAAAGATGATAATTGACTTCAGCACAAACTTGATGCAGAGTTTCAAGAGGTGCACCGCTATGCTCGAATTGACCTCCAGGCTCCAATGTTATGCTCTGCTTACCCTGGCAGACAATGTCACATATTTTTTTAAAGATCACCAAAAACAAATGGCAAGTGTTTCCTGATAATTGATTTGAATATATGGAGTCATATATTTAGCCATTTTACCTGTTTGAGTGCAATAATGTTGTTGCCTTCCATGATTTTATCCCAATGAAATCTATCAGCAATCCCATTAAGCAACTCGGCAATGTGTTCATATTTCATAGGACGTAAAGTCTTTAGATCAAAGCCAAATCTCTCCTGCTCAGTGCCAATTCTGAGGATGGAGCATGATTAAGTATACAAGTTAGGACAAGCTATTCAACTAACTCTGATCCATGTAAGATGATGATGCATATGAGTACCTCCAATTTTCTTTAGGCTTGCATCCAGAGGCAAGATACCCAATAAGATCCTCTTTCGTCAGTGGCTCTGAAGCAATAACAGCAGCTTCTGTGGGAGGGCTTGCAGCAACTATTGCACTACGTCGTTGCCTCTGTCCTACTTCAGCATTGTCTACATGCATAGCATGTGTCTTGCTGGCAGTATAAGAGGAAGAGAAAACAACGCAGTATGATGTCTGTGAAATGAGTGCCATGGCCACCCCTCGAAAAGCACTTTACACAATCTCTCAATCAACTACCTTACCACTGCCACTGCAACACCGCAGCTAGCTGCTAACCTCTTTGATATTTCTTGACATGAAATGGTGACCCTTGAAGACTATATATATTGTCATAACATAAACTATCCACCAACTTCTGACTGATGTGCAACGCAACAATCTTTTCTTTAGAGCCATTGACACTATTCTGCAGATAAAATAGATATGGACTGAATGAATAAAAAATACAGCAAAATTATGCCCATATGTAACATGTGAGGATTACACCCCAAATATCAATAACAATTGCACTTGTGTTTCCCACTGTCTATAAAGAATACTTTTTGAATAATAGGAAAATTGAGAGCAGGAACATGTTCTTGCATTTTTAGCTATCTTTCCTTGTTTTTTTCTTTATCTTGCACAAAACTAATAAAAGTAGATCATCTTGTCTCTGGAAACATCACAAAGGGAAATCGAGCAGCCCTTCTTCACACACATAACTAATCCTGGAAACCCGATTGCACCTGCAGCTCTTACACATTAAACAGAGTAATAACACAGGGCCATTGCAAGTTCTGTGTTCATAACTTCAGTTCTCTTCTCTTATACATTTTCCTCAACTAATAAACTTCTTATGACCCAAACAAAGTAGCATATTGCATATTTTTTCCATTAAAAAAAAAACATTCAAGCTTTCCCGTTAAAAGTTCTACGTTGATAACTTCAGTTCTCTTTTCATTTCACCTAAAAGGTTGATCTAAAAGAAGGAAACTTTAATAGTAGAGTCTGTTTTCTAATTCCCCCTAAAAAATTATGCCCACGAGTTACATGTGAGAATATCACCCCCACTTGTCAATTACATTTTCAGAAATGTGTTTCTGACTTTCTCTGAAGATTCAATAAAATATTACAGAATTCACGTTGGTTGATGAAACAGTCAGTCAGAACTTTCTGTCGAACAAAAAAAAAAAAAAAAAAAAAAAAAAAAAAAAAAAAAAAAATCATGACCAGCCATTGAAACCCATTCTTTTTTTATTTTTTTATATTTTAAAGTGTAGTCATTTTTTTAAATGTTTTCAATTCGTGTTATTTAAGAATAAAAAATATAAAAAATTACTGGTCATGACTATTGGAGCCCGAAAAATTATGTTTTCAAATCATGTTTTAAATGTTTTAAATTCATGTTTTCACACATACTTTTTAAATGTTTTAAATGTTTTAAATTCATGTTTTTAAATGTTTCAATTCTTGTTATTTAAGAAAAAAATTATTAAAAAATTCAACACGTGTCACTCAAAAATCATAGCCCGAAAAATTATTAAGATTTCTTCACGATAAGACGTGCCACGTGGACACAAAATCTTATCAGAAATCTTGTCATATATAGAATATTGTCTCTAAATAGTAGTTTAATTAAATTAAACAAATACATAGTTGTAGAATGTGTGAGTGTTGTACTATAGTTTTTCTCAAAATAATAAAATAAGAAGGACCTTAAAATATAACCCTGCATGGCTGGAGATATAAAAATTTAGCCCTGCACTATTCTTTAAAAAATAATATTTTGGAGGGCTAAATTTTTAGTCATTGACTACATTTAGCCTTATGACTGGAGATGGCCTAGAACACTATAACTGGAGATGGCCTATAACCTTTACGTACAAGCCAAGAAAATACAGAAGCTTCACCTGTTTCCAAAATACCAGTAGAGATATTAGTAACAAAGTGTAAACAAATATACAGGTTTAAGCTTCAAAATGTCTTCCATCACCGTACCAACTACGAATCCCAGAATAACTCCGTTATGCGAATCAGGACTGGAAAATAGCTAGAGCAAAGACAAACAAAATGTCACCATAGTTCATAAGCAGAGTGGTAAACATGCACACATAAGTTCAATATAAGTTGTTCCTATTACTTTTATAAAAAGAGATATTTAGTGATATACCCATTCTTAGCACTAATATTATAGATAAACCCTTCATCATTGAATTTCTATAAATAAACCTAAAAAAAACCCCAAAAATGACAGCTGGCCTTATTTAATTTAATATTGATTATTAAATTACTTTAATGCCCTATTGAGTGTTTTGGGTATTTTTATGAGATTTTGATATTGGGCTTGTTTTAAGAAATTTATGGTAGTTTTGTAATTTATAAGAAGTTAAGCCCTCTTTGTTATGTTGTAAATGGGTTTTGGGTGTGTTTATAAAGTTCATTTCATATGGGGTATTTTTATAATTTGGGCCCCCATATTGGGTATATTAGTAAATCTCCCTTATAAAAATTCAACCACAGACACTACATTTCTTCTAAAAACTAGTTATCTTTTTCAACGTTGGGAAGAGAAATACGACTAACTAAAAACTAAATGGTATTCTAGTTTTTTCAAGTGCACTTTGGCCTTTGGCTCTTTTCAGATATTTATTAGGTTTTAATACAGTTCATGAAGAAACTCCACTCTGTGTCAAATTTTATATATTGCTTATTTCGGATTGTTATTAGCACTTCAAAATAGTCATCGTGTACTCTTCTCTCTTCTATCCTTTATTGTGCAGGATGCTTATTTTGTAAGTCTATAAATCGTCTCGATACAATTCAAGAGCAACATATATTATCTGAGCTAGTTGGTGTACTAGTGCTAGTTGAAAAAATCATTTGAATCGAAGATGAGCCCAAGTCTATGATCTTTGTTCAAGCTTGAGCCGAGTTTGAACAAGAATAATATTATCTGAGCCAACAGCTGTGTTTTTATTTTGGTTAATCATGTATTGTAATTTACGATAATTTTTCATAATCAATGTATTATAAGATAGCACGTGATCCACACAGAGGGCAATGACAACAATCTAACTCGAAGATTTGTTTACACATTGCAATCATGAAATTTGAAAAAAAAATAAAGAAAAGATATTTTTAAAGCAAGAGTAACACACAACAAAGCTAAGTCATCATAATAAGGCTAGTCATAAAGAGATATTTTAACTCGTGACAAATATATAGCTTTTCTTTTTCGTCAAATAGGGACAACTATCACTAGACCGAAGTGTAATTCGTCAATCATAAAGTTATTTTTTCTTCGTGGAATCCATGGCAATATTTTACTAACTTACATGTGCAATCATGCAGTTGTTTATTAATCTTGTCTTTTTATTTCTTGCTTTTAATATGCATTTGTAATCCATGCCCAAACACAATCAACAAGAGCACCATACATTTGAAGCTTTTTAAACATCATCGAATTCATTCACTGAAGCTGCATTTTCCTCTATCTTTTGTTAATCCTACGAACAACAAATTAAATGAGAAAGAAGACACCTGAAAACAAATATGCAGTTCACAGTTTGCTATCATGGTTGTTTCATCTTCTTCTTGCTCTGTTACATACCACAACCCTCCATCTTTTTGGCTGATAATGGCAGGGGGTTGATTATCTGGTTCGTCCATAATTAGGCAAAAATATAGCCACTTTAAATCTGGACTTGCAAAGAGCTTACAACTTAAGAGGTTAAGAGCATCTACAATAGGCTCCCTAAACCACATCCTTAGCTAAAATTTAGGGAGGAATTGACAAAACCCACATCCAATCATGCTCCCTATTCAACTCCTAAAATAGGGAGACCTCTAGGAGCTCCTAAATCTGATAAGAGAGAAATAACTCCTAGTGATTGCCTATAATTAAATGCTTCTTTATTTAATATTATTTTAATTATTTATTTAAAGCCAACTATTTTTTATTGTTGCTTTTGTGTCTACACTATATTCAAAAATTGAATTTGAAAACATTAAAAACATTTATGACTCTTTAAACTAGAGAGTATGATTGGAGTTGAAATTTTATAGAAAGCTCCTAAAATAGCTTTCTAGTGTTTTTAGCTAAATTTTAACTAAAAAATAGAGAGCATGATTATGAATGCTCTTAGGATTTAGGGTTTAGGTTCTTTTTTCGGTACCCCAATCTAGTATAAAAATTTATATCTGGACTTTTGGGTAAATGAGGGCTTGGATTGGATGACTATTCTCAAGTTGGGTTTGAGCTAAAAGTTCGAGTCCAAATGCAGGGAATCAATTTGGGCTGACACAATAAAAGAGGGCTTCTAAATTCACCCAAAAATATCATTAAAGCACCTAGCTCCAAAATAAATTTTCACATTTTCCTTACTAATTCTTGTTTTCTTTTACCTTAAAAAAATATAAAATATAAAAAAAGTCAATACCCAGAAAACGATGGCTGGCTTTCTCTTCTAGAACATTTCCACTTTTACTACATGGAATAACAGAGCTATATGAATACGGAAATAACTTGAAGAGTCAATTGGAAGGGGAAATCAGAAAAATGTACGCGGGACTGCAACAAAATGAACTTCTGTTCACTTTCTTTCCCACAACATGCCGTCAGGTTATACAAATGAATTCATCTCAAGAAGTTTCAATTATTTTCAACCTTCCAAGAATATACTGGAACAATGATCTGACTATGTTCGGTCCAAATTAGAAACGAAACTTCATGCCTAAGATTTACGTCACAAATTATTCCTGTGGAAAGGTATATCTGTAATCACAAACTGAAAGCAGCTTTAAAAAAAAACCTAAAGATTACACCTGAAAATTTGCAAGGTTTACATGCAAAATGACCCCGCTGAAGTGCCTCACCTCAGTAAAGTAGCTCCTCAAAAACAGGGTCTATTTGTTGTCCCCACTTCCCGTTATACAATTCCAATAGCCTCTCAGCTGGTGTTACACCTGCCATGTAATTAACTTGCAATGTGAACACTGAATACCCCTCGAGAAAAGGAAAAATAAAGCCGCATCCTGGCAGATAATTAACTTACCGGTTCTGACAACCTCGGCCACCTCATTCAAGAACCCAGATTCCTTAAAGCCTCTTCTTTCCAGGCCATCCTGCAGCAAAAAAATGCCATAATCTAGTCATGCAGAAACACAGCCTCACACAAACACACATACGGAGCAGCAAGAGAAGCCCAATTTACCTTTGCCAACTTTACGACATCTTGGGCAACATGCTTGAGCAACCCATCCCGAAATGGTGTCTTTAGACCAGTTATGGGGACCTACTTAAAATAACTCTAGAATTAGATTTGCAAACTGAATAACACAAATTTAAGAGGTCAGTATCACTACTAACAAAACAGAGTATGGAATTTATCCTGTGGTTCAATCTTCATGAATTAATATTGATTTGAAGCAAAGGTAACTTAACAAATTGAATTCCAAGGTCGTGCAATTAGCTAAAGATTTGATTTTTATGAGAAAATAAAAAGACAGAACATGGGACAACAAATAAATAAGTAAAAAGTAGATAACCATCACTCAATCTTTTTAGCTGGATTTTAACCACAATGGCTGGGCCATCTCATTGCCTGGCCGCCCAAATTATGATTCCAGCACCAATGAGTGTCCTCCAAGGCTCCAACACCAATAGGTGTGGCATGAAAGACGTTACAACTTACAAATGAGTGCCAAAAGTTTGCAACCTGACCACAGTATATGTCGCAAGGGCAAAATGTCAACCACTCCACAGGGTCATTTTTTCTCAACTTTGTCAAACATACATGGTGTCCAGAATAGAGATACAAATTTGAAATCATGCATGCAAAGGAAAAAGCGCTTTATACTTTCTTTTCATTGACATAAAACGTGTAGGATTTAACGTCACCTTATCTCTCAGCATCTGTCTTTCTTCAGGGGTCCAATCAGCTGTAATGTCTAACACATTCTGTAGGGCAACCTCATCATACAGTATACCTACCTGGTATTTGATAGAACATCATAATGAGCTGATTTTGCTGGATACTATACTAAATAAAATAACCAGCAGAAGCTAGATAACTGGCAGTCAAATAAGTTTTAGGATTTCGCATACAACATAAGAGACACAAAGGACATAAATGAAACACTGAGATATCTTTTCTATCCTCAAAAAGTACGCCTGTGGCTTACATACAAGAACAAATGAACTAGTTATGTATAAATGTGAAATTGCCTATTACCCAAAATGCTGGCAAAGCGCACAATCTCCTCCAAGGCCCTCCATCAGCACCCCTCATCTCCAAGTATCTCTTCAGCCTGACCTGAATGGAAAAACCAATATAGCATAAGTAGGCAACAGTAAGGAAGTATGAGGTAATGGTTTCATTATTCATGCTAGTATGAACCTCAGGAAATATAGTTGTTAAATGATTCTCCCAATCATTCAGGGTTGGCAATTCACCCGGAATGCAGCTCAGCTTTCCTGCCAAAAAGTCCTGCATGCAGACAACCATACCATTGTCTTTAATAAATCAGTAGCTTCAGGCAAACAAAGACAGCAGCTGCAGGAGAAAGCCTAAATTACTAGACCACAAAGGATAGATAGAAACCCGGAAGGTCATTCCAGTACAGTCGATGTACTTCTTTTTCCGATAAACAAAGTACATGGGAACATCAAGAGCATAATCAACATATTGTTCAAACCTGCAAAAGAAAGTTTTTTTAAAAAACAAAAAAGCTTATAAAACTAACTAAATGATTAAAAGGTAATTGTACAACTATGAATGGAGAATCAACATGCAATAAAAAATTATCCCACAAAAAAATTCCACTACAATTAGAAATAGAAATCAATTCAAGCATTACAACATTATGTGCATAACTAAATAGCAAAGCTACAAAATAAGTTAAACAAAACTATTCAAGTGACAAATTCATTAAGAAAACCATTCACGTAAAAAATTCATTAAAAGACCATCCACGTAAAAATTCATTTAAAAACCATTCATGTGCTCCATCATAGTTCAATACTTAATACAAAAAAATCCATTCTTGGCATCCAAATAGAGTAGAAAAACGAAGCTAGAATTATGAACTATCCACAATCACACGCCTGCCAACTATCAAAGGAGAAAGTTCTGGCTTCAGGTTTTGATTTGTTTGGTTAAGAATCTTAAGAACAGTCTGATATTGAACAACCAAATAAGCAGATTAGGCATAACAAGGAGACTGAGGATGTGTTTGTAACACACTGAATTTTCTATGCTCAAAGTGATATCACCTATCATCAAATAGATGTAAATTTTCAAAATAATTGGATTCTGAAATATAAATCTATAGTCACAGAAGAAAGCAATAACTAATTTCATAATGACAATCAAAAGGCTTACCCAAAGGAGTCATCAAAAACAAAGGGAAGCATGCCAGTGCGATTGTTGTCGGTATCAGTCCAAATTTGACTGTTACAAAAAGTACAATAGTCAATACAGATGCCATGTCTCAACCAAATGTTATACGAATTCCAAAAAAAATAATAATAATAGAATATATATTATAAAAATTGAGAACAATAGAAACCTTCTCATGCTTAGAAAACCATTTGGCTTTCCTTCAGTGAAAGGTGAATTTGCGAATAGAGCTGTTGCTATCTGTTTCATTTATTGTAAGGTTAAATACCATATAAGTAACAAATTTTACATCAAAACAAGAGGCCAGTATTCCTCACAGGCTGCAAAGCAAGACCAGCACGAAATTTTCTTATCATGTCTGCTTCAGAACTGAAATCCAGATTAACCTACAAAAGTGAACAAAGAAGTTGCGCATGAGCTTCAGATATCTTATTCCTCGCCAAATCAATGGACTAACTCATTATGAAACATAACTAGCCGTAAGAAGTATTCATAGCAACTACCTGAATAGATTAGTGACAATCATCTTACCTGTACAGTGCAAGTCCTGAACATCATATCAAGTCCAAGCGTGCCAACTTTTGGCATGTAATTCCTCATAATCTCATATCTTCCCTGAGCCAAAACACTCGATCAGTGTGCAGATAATCTAAGTATTGAAAGATTATGAAAAGTGGCATTATTAGAGCTAACAAGGCCACATTGGGCATCAAGGGACTGCAGCATGAAATTTAAAAGGAGAATGTGATATTAGCATCTAATCATACAAGTTACAGCATTAGGGTGATGTGCTTTGGTATTCCTTTTCCTCTTTATAAAACTACTCAGAGGCTATTTAATGAGAAGTATTAAGACTTCTTAATTAAATAAACTGCAATCTCTTCTACAACCTTCCAATAACAAAGAAAATGGAATAAAGTGCCTGATATGGCCTTGTCCACAGAAAACAACTACTTCAGTCTACAAGGCATGTTTCAGCATGTGCCATCTCAAGTCCTAATCTAAACAAATGTTGCATTTGTGCATCACCGTATGGTTGAAAATATGATTAAACAATACCTTGGGCATTATAGGTATGTCCTTAATCCTCCATTTCGGCTGAAAACCAATTCCAAGAAATCCGATTCCCATTTCCTCTGTAACTGCTTTAACCTAAAAAAAAGTTAACAATGAACAAATTTACTTGCCAAAAAAAATGAAAAGAAAGATACAGAAACTTCATTTATCAACCAGACTTTACTTAAAAGCAATCTATGCATGAAGTGTGACCCTAGCTTGCATGTTATTCCAAGGTCCAATTTTTCAGTTTTCACTGACCTGATAAAGGTGTGAATTGACTTCAGCACAAGTCTGATGTAGAGTCTCAAGAGGTGCACCACTAAGCTCAAATTGGCCTCCAGGCTCCAGCGATATGCTTTGCTTACCCTGGCCCACAATGTCAAATATTCTTTACTTTAAATAACGAAAAATAAATGACAAGTATTCATGATAATAGATTATTAAATGGAAATATGAGGATGCATAAGTCACAAAGGGAGGGATTTATAAATATTAACATCCCTATAACAGATGATTAAAGGAAGTAAAACATATAAATAACACAAAATGTCATCCATATTGGAAGAGTAGAAGAAGAATAAGAATACCTGTTTGAGTCCAATAATCTTGTCGCCTTCCATGACTTTCTCCCAATCAAATCTCTCAGAAATTCCATTAAGCAACTCAGCTATTTGTTCATATTTCATAGGACGTAAGGTTTTTAGCTCAAAACCAAACTTCTCGTGCTCTGTACCAATTCTGAGGATGGAACAAGATTGAGTTTACAAATTATGATTGGTTATCCAACAAACTGGGTACAGAGAGAGTGGTAAAATACAGAACATAACAATCTAAATTATCATTGACTTTCAAGCCACATTGAAATAATAATGAGTTGATGTAAAATAAGGCAATAAATACCTCCAATTTTCCTTAGGCTTGCATCCAGAGGCAAGATACTTTACAAGATCCTCTTTCGTCAGAGGCTCTGTAACAATTACTGCATCTTCTGTGGGAGGACTTGCAGCAACTATCACACTATGCCCTCGTTTATGTCCTAGTACTGCATTGTCTACATGCAAAATCTGTGTCTTCCTAGGAGAGTAACATGACACGGAAGAGAAGCCAATGCAATTTTCCTTCAACTTGCCTGCCTCTATATTGTTTGCCCTACTCAAACCCACATTTTGTCCAGATTTATGCCGAAATATCTCAGTACGGATGCAGTATGATGAACCCATTTGTAAAAGGAGTGCCATGGACGCACCTGGAAAATTGGTATACAGCCTCTCAATTAACTACCTTGAAAAAATTCATGGGCATCAGATGAAAAAAAAATTGAAATCAAATATCTTTATTGGAACCATCCCAAAGATCTACTGTTTTCCTAGCTAAGGCCTATATAAAATGATATACTTTCTTACACCGAGAATCATGCAAAAACTCGTTGAGCCTTAACTGGTTATCAGTGCGAATGAGCACACACACACAGCACAACTAGTTGAAGAAATCCAATTCGACTTGCATCCCTTATACATTAAATAGAGTGATGGCATATGGCCATTAAAATTTGTTTGTTCATAATGTCAATTCTCTTTTCATATATACTTTTCCACTTTTTCTTTCTCTTGAAAAATCTATCTTTGTAACCCCACTGACCAATTATTATATTCAATCACCACCACTTCATCATGTCACCCAAAATAAAAGTACAAAACTGCATTATTGAATGGCCCAACAAACGAATATTTATAAACAAATACATAAAAACAATAACATAGCTAATATCATAGGTAACAACTGAATTATCATAGCATGATAAAACTGAAAATTAAACATTTGACGATGAAATGTTCATTGAATTAAATCATTCAAAACCCAGAAAGCGTGAATGCAACCTTCCAATGTAATTAAAACAACCATACTCAAAAATTAAGACTCAAAAGATCAAAACTCTGGTTACTGTAGGCAGTGTAAGATGAATCCAATACGAAATTATACGACGAAGTAAATTCCTTGGAGGGTTACCTGGTACGCTGCGAATACAGTCGCAATTCAAATCTAGGAATTTGCAGGAAGCTGCTGACTAGGGTTTTCGGTTTGCTCTCTGATAGAGAAATTCGAGAGAGAGAGAGAGAGAGAGAGAGACTTTGGCTACTCTGCTGATGAAAATGGAGCGCAACTGTTTTTCGATGACAATTAAATAGTGCGGCATAAAGTGTTCCTGTACGTTACTGGTGGTCCATTTGTCCTCAATGCCGCCACTTCAGCACAGTATAGATTCTCAGCAGCTCATAATCCATTTTCTTTTCTTTTTTTTTCTTTTTTGGGCTGACAACAACCCATTTTTTCTTTTGTTAAGAAACTATTTTGCAGACTAAGCAAGGTTATTAAGAAGGTTAATGATGGATAAAGGTAAGATAATTACCAAATGATGGATAAAGGTAAGATAATTACCATATAATGATACGCTACGAATGTATGATACTAATTAGAATTTAGGTCAGTAGATATTGTACAAATAACAGCATTCTGATGAAAAGTAAAGTTTGACTTGATAATGGAATAATTGCGATAAGAAAGAATAAGGAAATGGCTTATGGCGCTTGTATTTCAAATGGGCAAAAAGGAGTACTTTTTTTATTTTAACAAATTGTATACAATTTTTTTTTTAATCTCTCACCATTTGGCTCTAAAACAATGATAACAAAGATAAACAAATGGTTGTATACACGCAAAATTCAAATCTCTATTCCTATTTACTAGTACAAAAATGATAATTAAATATAAAACGTGTGCCAATTCCTTCTATCCTATCATTGCATAAAGAACTATGTTGAAATGAGATCACAAAATGGGGAAATTTGAGAACTACAAAACATGTGTAATTCCATACATATACATGTTTGAGTGTGGATAAACAAAAAGATCCTCATTCCGTGTACATGCTAATTTCTTCTTGGCATTATTTCTCTCTCTCTCTCTCTCTCTCTCTCTCTCTCTCTCTCTCTCTCTCTCTCTATCAACTTAGGTCCGGACCATCCAATGGACCCAACAAACAAACAATCAATGACAAAGAAAAAAGCTTTGTGATTATGACTTTGTGAGGTAATTGATGACGGCATGAGACATATATTCTAATTATACTAGCCCCTGGTTTTATTTTATATTTTATTTTTATAATTAAGAAAAGATAATATAGATAGTTATGTTCCATATGAGTAGGACTTATTATTTATTTATTTTTTTAGTTTTAATTTTTTTTAATATAAAAAAGTGAATTTACCGTATTATCCTCATTTAATTAATAATTTTAATTCTTAATATTTGAATTAAGCAATGACATTTCCTGGTATTTTGAATGTTTCACCATTCTCTGCCTTTTGCTTCATATATATAGATATATATATATATATATAGATACACTAATTAATACAAATATTGAATATAATATGACTAACCTAGTGGAATCTCAATTATGAATCACAATGGGTTTTCACATTGCCAAAGAAATTAAAGTCCCATAAGGCATGTCACCTTTGAACCCTTTTTTAGTAAAATTGCTTGATTTAGTATATTAATTACTAGATATTATGCTCAACATGTAGAAAGGACCCATTTTTTTCCGAGCAAGAAAAGAAAAGGACCAACAAGGGCTGACCTCCATGGAAGGGTAAAATGGTCATTGAAAATTTCACTCACGACAAAGCCACGCTTAAGTCTCGGACTCGCCACAGATATGTATAGTCATCAACTCAAAACCTCCTCCAATCAAATAAAATCAACTACTTCTTAGGGCTCGTCAATGGGCCGGGCCGGGCTAGGCCCGGCCCAAATTTAACGGGCTTGGGCCGGGTCGGGCCGGGCTTTAAAGAGGAGAGAGAAAATATCGGGCCGGGCCGGGCCGGGTTTTTTTAGAAAATTCAAAGCCCAAGCCCGACCCATAGGTCGGGCTTGAGAAAGTCCATTGGGCCGGGCTGGGCTAAGCCCAACGGGCCGGGCCGAAACGGGCCTACTTCATTCGAAAAAAATTATAAACTTAATTATAAGGCATTTTAGTCTAAATTTGAGATTAAACTCACTTAATTCCAATATTTTCACATCAAACCAAATTCATAAAATACCCAATAAAGTCACACAACTTAATAAGATTTTCCACAAAATAATAAAACAAAGTATTATTTTTGAGGTTATTACATAATTAGACCGTAATACGTTTTAAGAAATAATTTTAAAAAATAATAAGTATCAAAAAGATATTTTTTTTAAAGGATGGTATAAATAAATATGTAAATGTTTGGTGATGTGTTCAAGAAAAATATTATTATATTTGGTGGTAGTAGTACGATTATGTTTCGTGATATGATTATATTTAGTGATATGATATATTGTTCATTTTATTTATATATATATATATATAATTGTTGTATAAATAATTGACACAAATTAATGTGCTAATCATCCAATTATAAATTAGGAATGAGTAAAGAAAAGTAAATGAAATGAAACAAATTATATATGTGATTTAAGTGATATAATCCTAATCCTAAACTCTTATTTATACATAATTATATATGTATGCGGGCCTAACGGGCCGGGCTTTTGTGGGTGGGCCGGGCCGGGCTTTCTTGGGCTTAATCGGGCCGGGCTTATGGGCCGGGCCGGGCTTCAAACACCCAAGCCCAAGCCTAGCCCGGCCCAAGGCGGGCCGGGCCATCTCAAAGCCCATAACGGGCCGGGCCGGGCTTTTTTTCAATGGGCCGGGCGGGCCCCCATCGGCCCATGAGCCCGCGGGCCAAATGATGAGGCCTACTACTTCTAAACACCAAAAATCAATTGGTATTAAGTCTCCCTTATTAAAATCATGGGCCACACCAGAATGATGCAGGTTTATCACTTTTTACAATGTGGATTCCAAATGGAGCTTTTTAATGCATGCTAATGTTGATTCTTTTTATTTTTAATTCCGTCGGCTATCTCTAAATACAAGCATATAATAAGCATGTAGGTGATAGATACATAATCATGTTGTCTGTGCATCACATCACATGGATGGTACACTCGATCCACTAAACAAAAGCCAAAACTTAGTACTATGGTTATATTTATAAATCATAAAAAACCAACGCAACCCTTTTCTCCACCATATAATATACTAGTAATTAATTGTTTAATTGTTTGTATGACAAGGATAGTCATTCGTTTCACGGGGGAGGCGGTGGTTTTAAGGATCACTTTGGTATTCAACTTATTTGGTCAACACTCAACAACCCGTTTATAGCCTGACCTCATTATCATAATATTTACTAAACTCTCGAGCAAAATGAGACCTCATTTTCGAACTGATCGAAATCAAGAAATTTGAATCCAACAATATTCTGAGTAAAAAAAAGAGATATTTAGTGATATATTCATTCTTAGCACTAATATTACAGATAAACTCTACACCATTGAATTTCTATAAACAAATTAAAAAAAAACCCAAAAAATGACAGTTGGCCTTATTGAATTTAATATTGATTATTAAATTACTTTAATACCTTATTGAGTGTTTTGGGTATTTTATATGAGATTTTGGGGTTGGGCTTGTTTTAAAAAATTTATGACAGTTTTGTAATTTATAAGAAGTTAAAGGCTCTTTGTTATGTTGTAAATGGGATTTGGGTGTGTTTATAAAGTCAATTTCATATATGGTATTTTTATAATTTGGGCCCCTATATTGGGTATAATAGCGAATCTCTCTAAAAAAAAATTCTCTTTTAATATCATTCAAAACACTTTTGAAATTTCAATATTCATTATAATTCATGAAACTTTGAATTTTCGGAATATTTTGGAATATTTTTAAGAATTTTTTATAAAGTAGTTCGAAATTTAGAACATGCCTATAATTTGAGAGGTTAAAATCAACTCAAAATTGAAAAATCATTTTGAAAACCCAAAGAAAGAAACAATACATTTTGTTCTTCACAGAACAACTCGTTTATATCTGTTTTTTTAATCATTAGATCATATTTGTGTGTCAATATGAATTTAGTGATTATAGGTAGTTCAAGCTTGAAACCTCAATATATTTTAGATTTTGGATTTTGGATTTTCGAAATAATAAGATGCATTCCAATTCTAAATGTGATCCATAATTCTTTTGGAGTTTTAAAATTTTGGATATCAAATTTTATTTTCATGAAAATTTTCGACTCGAAATTGGTCAAAAATTGGAAATTTTCTTATCCAACTTATTACACCCCTAGCTAAATCCCATTAGAAGGAAGAGAGTATAGAGCGCTAAGAATAAGGGGAATTGAGCCGAAGCCCACTCAAACTTTGTTGGGCTTAGAAGTAGAAGAACGATCTGTCTTCATTGGAACAGAGGATGGCCCATACTTAGAAGCCCATCTCCCTTAAAAGCTTAAACGTTTGCTTCAACACTACACACCAAATAGATAGATTACTACCTTCTAATAGCAATAGGGATCTTCTGAAAGATTAAAGAGGTGAATCACAACACCAAAATAATTGTGATAGAAGCAGCACCAAATTATTATTAGATGTTCTATTCATATACATCGTACAGAAATACTTACATGATAACAAGAAGATAGTCCAATGCAGACCACCTGAAATACTTCATACTTTTTTTTTTCTTCACTTTTTTTTTTTTTTTTTTTTTTTTTTTTTTTTTTTTTTTTTCTTATACACAGCATTGTTGATATAAAACTATATCATCAAGAATCAAATTAAGAATAAGCGTCTGTACATTTTACAGGGTTACCAGAAATTATCATCAAATGTTACCCTGGTTGACGGAGATGGATCGGCTTCTTCTTCCATTTCCAACTCCGGTTCCCCTGACCCAAATTCAGTGGATTCAATAACAGCAAGATTCTTCAAATCAACCACAGATAGCTCGTCTAAGCGCCTAACCACCAGGTCTGCAGCTGCAAGCTCATATACAGGATGCTTGCTAGCAACAGCCACACACTTCATCCGGGCATCATGGGCAGCCTCAACCGTTTGGTTTGAGTTCCCAAACACAATGCAGCGCTCAGGTATGAATTTTAGAAGTTGTGCCGCATACTCAAACATTTCTGGATCAGGCTTCCCCCTTTGAACATCTTCTGCAGCTACCATCACATTGAAGTATCCTTCAATACCAATATTTCCAATTGCAGCCTCAAGAGTTTTTCTTGGACGTGTAGAGACCAGCGCCATCGGTATGTTGTAATGCATCAAAAAATTCACAAACTCTCTTGATCCAGCTCGCAATCTATATGTCCCACCCTGCAAAGCTTGGTAAATGTCTTCCTTTCGAGTAGCCATTCTTCTCAACTGTGCTGGGTCTCTAGACCAGCAGAGAACTTCAGAAATTGCCTGTTCATTCTTCATACCTTCTATTCTTCTAAGCATGAAAGCTGGGGGAGGAGACTTTCCTTCTTCTTGAGAAAGAGCCAGCCAGGCTTGCTTCTCAAGATCAGTATTGTCTTCAATCAGAACTCCTTCCCACTCGAATATGGCAACTAGCCAACCACTACCCATCCGTTCTTGTCGAAGCAAGGGATTGTGTAGCGAAGGGTTATCTGCTTTATTCTCTGGTGGCCACAAACCAGGTTTTCGATCTACACTGGTATCGATAGGATAATCCCATTTCTTGGGAATCCTATCCTCCTTGAATGAATAGGTCTCTTTCGCTAGCTCCATTGCAAGGGCCTTAATTGATGAATTTTTTGAGTGATCAACTCTTAACTTTGGCAAAGGAGGAGCCATAGTAATCCTTCTACCAAGAATATCTGCCATCGGGAACCGACAGTTATCCGAAGGCCTCCTCTTGTTAGAGACATCCTTAATGAAAGCTCCTGTATAGAGCGGCCGGTGCCCAAGAAGAGATGTTGAAGTAATTGATTCAGCCATTCTTGACAAATACCTCAACCAAGCTAAACTTGTATAACTTAAGAATTCTAACTTATGCTAAAAACCCTTTTGAATTGCAGCTAAACTCAACAGTTATAAGCCAAACTTGAGCCAGATAACAATCAATTCCTTTCCAACTGAGGATTTAAAACCACAACTCAACTGTTCTTGTCAGGTCAAATAACCCCATATTTTGTTAAAACTGAGTCCTAATTATTCTTTACCAAATCCAGCTATGCTGTCAAAGAACCATAAAAAAACGTTCCCTTGAAGCAAAAACTAAGCATAACCCATTAGACCCATCAACCCAAATCCCCCAAATTAACACCACCCACAGCTTAAAAGCTATTATAAATCCAACCCCAAAAAGCAAAAAAGCTGAAAACAAAAGGAATTGAAATATACAGAATATACCGAGCAAAGACCAAGTCTTATTAACTCTAGAATTAATCAGATTTCACTCACAAACCAGCCCAACTAGACAGAAACTAAGATATATATATATACAATTTACAAAAACATAGACTTTTGCTATATTACAATAGGAATATAAAATTTATAAACCTTATATATAAAGGAAAACCTGGGGAAGGACCAAAGGGTTGGATGAAGAATTGGAGGCCTGAGATATCACAGAGAGAGAGATTGAAACTCCTCAGCAGCGGATTAGATGAATCTCTCCCCTTTTTTGCGTTTGTCGAAGAAGGTGTTTTTCTGTGGCTTATAAATTGTGGAGAAAATGCTCGGAGAGAGAGAGAGAGAGAGAGCGGTGATGCCGGCAAAAGTAACCAGCTTAAGGACACGTGTCGGTGATTAGTTTTGATAACTAATAGTGTACAGATAAAAAGGCATTCCTTTTCCTTTTTGGACAGAATATTCTGTACTCACCAAATTTTTGTCTACCAAGTTTTGGTAATCAACAGATGATGTTCGTATCCAAAAAAAAAAACAGATGATGTGGTAATATTTTCTTTTTAAAAAGTTATGATATTTCCATGTTTTGGATTGGAGGGCATATTCCTTTTTTTATTTATAAATCCATATATATATATTATCTGTTTGTTTTTCATTGCAATATTCAATGAATGTATCCTTTTACGTTTAGGTCCGATTTTGATTATTCTTGGCTTACCACATCTTTCATACCACATTGTGTACCACCTACACAATGTGGTAAGTCTAGCATTATGATTCTTTCAAAATACTAATTATACCTTTATTTACGTTCCTTTTGTGGAAAACATAAGGAGTGTGCACGATTACTTTTTGGCAAAGAGCAATTTTGACTTCTTTTTTTCCTTTAAAACAAAATTACAAAGAAAAGTCACAAGAACAACTCGATCTTACGTGATCGAAGTTGAAAGCTTTCTCACACAACTGAGAATACCTATATTAGCAAATAAACGCATTAGTTACAAAATTACATTCCTTCCATGAGTACATGTCGAAACAAAAAGAAGATTGAAAGAATAAAATGAAATTAGCTCAATCTTTCTATTAGGTAAATGTTAAGAATAGTTTGCTAGAGCCTAGAGCCTAGACCCTTCTCTACCCAAAAACACTCATAGAGCCGTTCTCACTTTGAGGAGGGAGGAATTCATTGTTCTTCATCCCCTCTCCTAGCGCCATTTTCACTTTGAGAGGGAGGAATAAATTGTTCTTCCTCCCCTCTCCTTTCTTCTCCTCTTCCCCTATTTTCAGAGACATAAGGTTTCCCTTACTTGTCTTTGTTTTGTTACGATTTTCCTCAAACCATCACAGGCGATTGCGTCTCGTTGTCGGATCTCCACCACCCTCCATTTTGCGGTTCCTTTATGTTTGGAATAAGTTGCATAGACTTGTTAGGTTCTCTTTGTAGTTTTCACATCTCCTTTTGTGAGAGTTTTCCACCTCTCATTTGTGAGAGCTTTTCACCTATCCTTTGTAAGAGCTTTTCATTTCTCCTTTGTGAGAGTTTTATTTGTACTGTTATGGCTTGGATTTTTCAAGCTTTATATATTTTCGATTATTCTGAGTTTGCAATCTTAGTTGGGATGCTTATGCCAGAGTTTCTTCAATCATGCGTGATCCTTAGTAGAGGCACACCAAATTGTGTTAATTTTTATGTTAGATTGCTCCGTTATTGTAATGACCATTTGTGGCTAGTGACTTTTTTTGGCTGAATTATGAATGCAATCCTTTTTATTTATTTATAGAAATTCTGGAATTGCATTCATAATTCAACCAAAAAATCCACTAGCCACAAATGGCCATTACAATAACGGAGTAATATAACATCAAAATTAAAACAATATAAGGTTTCTTCATTAACGATCAAGCATGATCGAAGAAACTTTGGTACAGGCATCCCAACTCAAAATGCAAACTCAAAACAACCAAAAATATATAAAGCTTGAAAAGACCAAGCCATAACAAAACAAATAAAACTCTCACAAAGAAGAGGTGTAAAGCTATCACAAAAGAGAGGCGAAAAACTCTCACAAAAGAAGAGATGAAAACTACACATAAAACCCAAAGAATCTATGCGACTTATTCCAAACATCAAGACACATTCGCCTGTGATGAATTGAGGAAAATTATTACAAAATGAAGACAAAAAAGGGAAATCTTTTGTCTTTGAAAATTGAGGAGAAGGGAGGAAGGGAGAAGGGGAGAGGGGAGGAAAAACGATGGCTTCCTCCCCCTCAAAATGAAAATGACTTTAGAGTGTTTTTTGAAAGAGAGGGGGCTAGGGTTTTCATCTTTTAACACTTTTCTTTTGATAATAATTATGAATTCATCTAGTAAACTATTCTTCTTCTTTTTTTTCTTTTTTATTTTTTTAAAAATTTATTTAAATTTTTATAATTTCTTAAAAAAGAAAGAAAGAATAGTTGACAAAGTTTGAACATAATTGATGCATATGTACCACGACTATCGATCATCTAATGTTTGTCAATGCGTTACCAACTACCAAGGGAGACGTACGTATGCTTATAATTGACAAAGTTTTTATTTTTATTTTTTTATGGTTGAATATAATTGACAAAGTTAAGTGCATCAATCTTTGCCTATTTTGAACATTATTACATCAAAATATTGTGCAATATTAATAATGCAGCAATCAAATCTCCAACCAAACTCATCCCAAATTATGTTGTATGCACTATAGTCTATAATTGTCCTATCATTTTTTCTTGATTTATAATTTCCGCACTTTTTCATATCTACAAGGAATTTATGGCTCAAGTGGTTCACATTTATCTTTGCATTCGAGGTCCTATATTCAATCCCCTTCCCAAATAATTAAGAACGATTATCTTCATATTTGAGGTCCTATATTCGATCCCCTTACTTCTGTATCGAAAGAACTTTCATTATACAATTTGATACGCATGGATATTTCTAATAAATTATAACCATACTTACTATCAACTTTAGTGGATAAGCTCTCTTTCAAATGTTTAGATGTTGCATTGTCCTATGGTAAATTAGAATCCTAGATTAGCCACCTAATTGTCTAGGTAAAATAATGACTTCGCCATCTCCTCGTCACCAATTAAACACGATAAAAAGGTTGCAGTTTGTGAATATGCCTTTTTAATTGAGGAACCGACATGGAAAGAAGGAGAAGAAGGTGGGAGAGCTGGCAAAAACAAGGAGAGGAGGAGTTTACTTCATGTAGTCACCATCAAGATGAAGCAGTCCATATCACACACTCTTGCCTTTGATAAGATTAGTTAATTTGCAGGTTTGATTCCACACGCATGCCTTTCTCATTGCTTCCTTTAATATATAATAATATATATATATATATATATTTTATATAAATTCCAAAAGGAACAACTGTAAACGAAGGTCATGATTTAAACTTCTACCAATCATATGCGACAATTATTTCAAAATCACCAAACTCAAAATAGTTTTGAACTCTGAAAACAAAACACGACACCATTCAACTATGGCTTGCAACGGTGCAAATTATGTATGCACGTGAAGGTTAAAACATCGCCGAACCACATATATATATCGGATCGTTGAAATAAAATTTGTAGTGAATCTCAAAAGGTATCTGCTAAATAAAATTATTTTAGACATTCTTGAATAGAATGAGATTATATACGTGCACACAAAAATATTTATCACACAATAGGGTGTAGATCAATCATCAAAACAAGAAGGCAAAAACTGTTGTATAACTGTTCTTAATTGTTTGAGTTATAAATTTGTCGGTTTATTTTTTTGATATTTGCACTTACTAGTTTATGTTTTTTTTTCCCTATATGATTGAATACTTCTATTATGATAGGTGGAATAAACATGTGGTCCTACTACGACCTATGGTGTAGAAAATAGCAAAGAAGAGGGAGCACCAAGGATGAGTACAAAATAGGTGCTGGGGCCCATGACTTTGGAAGCGTGAAGATCCTTCGAAGTGTCTGTTGCAAGGCAAAAGCATTACCAGATTCATCTCCGCTAATCCCAGGTTGGAGAAGAGCCAAGTCAGCCATTTGAACAGGATTCGGCAATAGGTCGGTTCTAATGTGGGCCCCATATCTTTGGAGAAACTTCTCCAATGAACACTACACAACTTGTTAGTTGTCAACATTTGTAGTAATAGTTGACAACCATTCACGCACGTATTGAAAATTATCGCATGTACAATTCATAAGTGTTAAAAAATGCATTGATAGTTGAAAGCTATCTAATCGGGTGTAAGGCGTTGTCGGTACTACAACTCAGAAGTATCAAGAAACACACCATCATTCACTCTATTACTCATAATTTTGGAAGATATTCGTCACCGTTAATATTAAAAAAGTTTATGATCCAACTTGCAAAACAAAATCACGTGAACAATCGAGATTAAAGAGAATAGAATGCATTGTTGACAAGATGAGATTACTTCAAATATTATGACAACTAAGAAGTACAAATATCAGGTAATCTTTTTGGTAATTCCTTAAAAAATAAAAAGCAATCTTTTTGGTGCTAATCTTGTGTTTACATTTACGTCGTTTTGAGATTTAAGAGTTAAATACTTTTTGCAAAAGACCCACTAATATAACAGTTTGGAGCAATTGCTTACTCAAAAAATACCATCAGTTCGAATCCTAATATTCATGTAATATCAAAATTTAGATTCGAAAGATAATCAAGTCTATCAACCGACCCATATTGTAAAAGTCTAAAAGTAAAGGCCCATATAACAAAAGCTGGTCATTTTTCCTGAGGCCCATAAGCTGAAAAAACTCCCTGTGGCGCTCCCACCTGCCTCAGCAGCGTCGCTGACCAAGTGTTCGATAAAATTATCGAAAGAGAAAAAAAGCCCCAAAACAAAGAAAAACATGGGCAGGAGAGGAGCAGCCAAGAGAACGGGAAATACAGCATACGGGTCTAACAACACCATATCACTGAGAGAAGAATTGACAGGCAAGAAGCAAACCAAGGGACCGGCCGTCAACGCCAAGACTGCACTGAAGCTCGAGCACTTGCAGAGACTCGCTGTATGGGCTGGTGGGGAAGCTTCTGTTCCTTCTCTGGGTGCCTTCTTCGCGCACACGTTGGCCTCTGCTCAGGAGGCTCTGGGCGTACCTCCTGACCCATCTCTGTTTACTTGCCAGAGGTATGTGAATTTATTTTGCTTCCTTGAAATTATGGAAAATATGAATTACCCAAGAAAACGAATTAGCTGAACTGGTTTTATCAAATTTGTTCTTGTTAGTGTATGCATATTGAGGTGGTGGTTTTTATAAGTGCAGTTGGTTGCAAAGTATATGGCTTTTTGAGCTCAGTGTTGGAGTTAAAGTTTATGGCTTGATGCAATTGTAGCAGGTTGCAGACCAAAAGGGTTAATGGGTTATATTAGAGTGGGTCATGGATGCATATGTTCTTTAATTGATAATTTTGTGGTGGGCAATTTGACTTTGTTATGCGCAAGTGTTTGAGTGTTTAAATCGATGTTGGGAAGTAACTAAGAAAACTTGTTGTTTTCCACTAATTGTTGAAATATTTTGTGATCGAAAGCTGTTGGAATGGTTGGTTCGCTTGTGTTAATAGTTGTTTGCTGTAAGAGGGCTGCATTGTTGGTTGTAGTTAATCTGTCCCAAATGCGAAGTGAGCATCTTGGGTTGTGGGTTGGTTAGAGCTATGCAAAAGCAGAAGAAACTGGCTAACAGTTTTAGTCCAATGCAAGTGGTTTGGATTAGATTGTATTAGAAATTTTAAAACCAATTGCATTAGATCGGCTGTACCAAAATTTGGAACCAAACCAATTCAATTGTAACAGGCAATATAAAATTGTATATCTTTATAAAGAGTCTTAAGCTTGGTGGCATTGCATAATTTTCTCACGAAGCTTGTCCACCCTTGATTATTATCAGAGTCCAACATCATATTTAGCTTAACCATACCCACATTGTCTTGTGATGCTTATGTAAGTTACGATCTACCTTGATTAAGCTTAGTACACTGTACATCATAAAGATAAAGATGGAAACTTATTGTTATGAATAGGTTTGAAATTTTTCTGCATGCAAATGGGCCAGCATTGTAGGTTGCAAACTAACTTTGTAAACGTATTGAATTACTGAAATTCCTAATTATTTCAAAGTTCTACTTGAACAACATACATATAGGATTCATTGTCCAAAGTCAGATATATAAACTAAGAAACATCCAACATAGTTTAGGGTTGAAAGATGGAGAGAGAATACGCTTCTGACTCTATTGATCTGAAAGCCTAGCCAGCTACATGTAAGTTTCTTACTATGAGTTTAATTTTATTTTACTTTTCAGAAAGGTTATTATTGGTTAAACCACGAAAGATAAACAATCACTCCGAATTGCATCTGTTTCAATAAAGTCAATTGCTAACAAAGTCCTCACCAGCATTGGGGTTTTTTTTTTTTTTTTTTTTTTTTTTTTTTTTTTTTTTTTTTTTCTTACTCATTCATTTTGCACCTTATACTAGCATGAAACATGAATCTTACGATGGCATGCCTGGTTTTGTGCTTTTCTGATGCTGGCATCTCCTTTCTGTTTTCTTAGAGCACACAACACAGATAAAAGTATTAATAAACCTAGGTTTCGTGGCTTTTATTTCACCAATGTGGTTTTTTTTTGGGGTCATGTTTTTGTTGAAATTAAAGTGCTTTTGAGATAAGCTTAGAGTTCAAGTCATTCTAGTTTCATATTTTAAAGTTCCCATTGAATCAACTCCGAAAGCGAAATGAGTCAGCCACTATGCACATCCAAAGTTCTTGAATCGATTTGTCTTTTAGATGTGTGTGATGTAGTGTAGCCTTGTAGGCTTTAATTTTTTTCCGGTGCCTTCTTGAAATGAATGATATTTCAAAGTATCTAGAAGGTACAAAACTCTGATCAGCATTTTACTGTTTTGCAGATGTGAAACAATTCTTCAGCCTGGCTTGAACTGCACTGTTCGAATTGAGAAAAATAGATCAAAGAAACGACGAAAAAGTAAGAAACCAACTAGTTTCTCTCAAAACAATGTAGTGTATACATGCCACTTCTGTTCACATCGGAATTTGAAGAGAGGGACTCCACATGGACATATGAAAGTGATATGCCCCGCTAAGACCAAAACGACTTTGAAACTGAAACCTGCTAAATCCATTTCCCAGAAGTTTGTCAGTTCAAAGAAGAGCATTGTAGCTGAAGATGAGGTTAGGAAAGCAAATGAGATAGCTGCATCAGAAATAATTCAAGTGAATGAGATAGCTTCATCAGAAATAACAAGAGAGATTCAAGCGAATGAGATAGCTTCATCAGAAATAGTAAGAGAGATTCAAGGGAATGAGACAGCTTCATCAGAAATAGCAAGAGAGATTCAAATTCAAGTGAATGAGACAGCTTCATCAGAAATAGCAAGAGAAATTCAAGAGAAAGAGACAGCTTCATTAGAAATAGCAAGAGAGAATTGTATTGTGGAAACTCGGGCAGATGAAGATGAGGTTACTATAGTGAATGAGATGGCTTCTTCAGCAATAGCTGGGGAGATTCCAACGGTGGACAGTCCTGAAACTCCAAAGGTGAGGACTGGACCTACTTTGTTACTTGGAGGGAAGAGGAGAAAGCGAAACAAATCGGTGTCCAAGAAACCAGCTGTACCTGAGAACAGTCCTAACCCGACAGATGCAGAAAACACTGGCAGCATGTCAAACAAACGGAGGAGAAAGAAGTGGACTAGTTTGAAGGAAATCGCTGAAACCAGTGAGCACAAGAACATCCGTAACATTAGTGATTTGACAATCCCTTTCTTTGTCTAAGGTGCATAGCTCCATATGGCAAGTGGAATCAGTGGATAACACATTTTGTAGCTTGGCAGTAGATCAAATTTTGAATGATATAAAATATCCCTTTATAGTTCCCTTTTGTATTCACACGGTACCTATCAACAAACTTTTGCTTGCTTGTTTGTTCTTCTAATTATTTAACTTTAAAAGAATTTTCACCATATTTTTTCTATTTCCTTCTTGGAGGTTGGGATCTTCCATTATCAGAACAACAGAGCTTTCTTTGTTTGTGACAATATGGAGGAAGCTCAGTGGTGTGGGCTTTAGGAGAAATCTGAATGAAAGGGAGACTGTCGAGGTGATTAAGTTGCTGGAAACTCTGGAAGGATTCAGATTGTGTGCTTCTAAAAGGGATAGGAGAAGGTGGGATCTTGAGGAGTCGGGTTCTTTCACTTGCAAGTCCTTTCAGTCCTTTTTGCGCAACAAGGGGAGGGTTGTGACCTTTCATCCCTTCTCTCTTGTGTGGAAGGCTAAGTCTCCCCCTAAGGTTAAGGTCTTTGTTTGGTTGGTGGCGCTTGGGAAAGTTAACACTTTGGATCTAGTCCAAAGGAAGGGACCTTTTATGTATTTGTCTCCTCAATGGTGTGTTTTGTGCAAGCATTGTGAGGAGAATGTGGACCACCTTTTCTTACATTGCCCTTTTTCCTTAAGTCTTTGGGGGCTCTTGTGGAGGGAGGTTGGGACTGTTTGGGTGATTCCGAAAGGGTGCTCTGATTTCCTCTGTTCTCACTTTGTGGTTTGGGGAAAGGGGAAGCGCGCTTCAACGTTATGGGGCTGTTTGGTTCACTATGTTTTCTGGAACATTTCGTTGGAGCGTAATAGGAGAATTTTTGAAGACTATAAGGGAGCAGGAGTGAGTGAGCTTTGGGATAGAGTTAAGTACTGGGTAGCTTTGTGGGCTTCGATTACAAAAGAGTTTAAAGACTATTCTTATTCCACTATTATGAGGGATATGGCAGCATCGGTTAACTGAGGGGCGGGGGGTGTGTTGCTTTGAGGTTTTTCGATTGTGTTCCTCCCTTTTAGTTTGGGAGGGTTTGGTGTTGTTTGTTTTTCTCTGTGTTGTTTTTGCTTCTTCGGTGGTCGTTGCCTTATCCACCTCCAAGTTCTTTTGCTCAATAAATTTCGTTTCTTCTCAAATTTTTATTTTATTTTTCCTTCTCAAACATAAAATGAGTCGTTGTGTATGCACGAATGCAACCTTTTTAAGGCATGGCAATAGCACGATTAGAGTATAAGAAAGTGTGAACCGATGTTTGGGGATGCATTTTGCAGAGTTAAAATCGCTTTTTGATAACTAAAGAGCGCAACTTGAAAAGTGTGTCATGCATTATAAAATCTTTATTTTTGTTGAGGAAGGTGCTTTTTTTATTTTATAAACCACTTAATTTTTAATAAAAAAATTCGAAAAACATTCTTAAAAAGCGCGTACAAGTAAAAGTGTGGTTTAAAGAAGCAGTTAAACTTATCTCAAATGCTGAGGCAGAGCTCTTATTAACTGTTGACATTCACGTCTAACGGTTGTTGGAATTTCCCCTCAGTAGTCACCGCGGGTAATCACAGCCCACTAACTCATCATCACCGCCACGTATTCACCAGCGCTCTCCAATCCTATACAGTTAAGCACACATCATATAAAACCTATCCCTCTGGGAAGCTTGTACCTTCCGGACAATACGTTTTCTTCCTCAACACGTGGCAGAAAAGGGTAATTTCGGCCTCTATGTACACCTTTGAAGCAAAAAACTAGTATCCTCCATTTTCTACACTTGCTTCCAGACCAAACGGACCGGCTGCCGTCATCACCTAAAACAAAATACACGTGGCCGCTAATAGTGGCAAATCCGAAATTCTAGTAAACTACGGGCCCATTTTCAAAATCCCCAAGTGCGTTTATAAACAGCGGAGCGACACACGTCATCATTATGAGAGCTCCCTAGTCTGAGACAGAGCAGAGACCGAGAGAGAGAGAGACGACGGGCCCTTGACATCGATCACACCCACCAAACCGCACCGTTTCACCTCAGAATGGGGAACAGAAGGTTCGCGCAGGTCTCGACCAGCGACGACGAAGACGACGTCGCACCGCAAAATCAGCAGTTGGAGGAGGAGAACGGGTCGTCGAAGAAGAGGAAGCAGATGAAGCTTCGAGAGGGAGAAGAAGAAGAGTCAGAAGAGGAAGAGAAGCACAAGAGTAAGAAGAGGAAGGGAAAGAAAGGGAAAAATGTTAGGGACGAATCGGCGTCGGAGAGCGAAGACAACGAGGAAGAGCCACAGCTAGAGGACGCGAAGCCGATTGGCGAGGTCGTTAGGCTTTCAGGGAAGGGGAGGGGTCGCAGGCATCACTACGAGGCGTTTGAGTATGACGGCAACCGATACGACTTGGTAAGTTTGCGTTTTGGGCTCGGGTTTTGGGAGTTTGTGTTTATTGGTCGGGTTTTAGGGCTTTGATTTATCGATTTCATGGTGGCTTATTGAACGCATTGTTTGATTAATTGGGATAAATTGAAGAACTATTAGCAATTGTGAATTTTGGTTATTTTGTTTCTAGAGACTTTCAGTTTGGGTATTGATTGTTGAGTTTGTAGGGTTGGGCGGATTGGTTTGGTGGAAAAACGAATGGTTTTGATTCATTGCTTCACAGATACACAAATATTTACTCTCCATTGTTTGGAAAGTGTTGTTTAAGTTGGCATTATGGTAGCATTTACTTTCGGAACTTCTTTGTTCATTTATAGGGAAATTCAAGAAACTAGAATGTGATTTGTCAGTTTCGTCTATGTTTTCCCGTGAAATTTATTGTCTATGTTTCCAAAGATGGAATGGTTAAGTTGCGTGCCAACAAACTTGTTCTGATTGCCTTCTTGGGAATAGGGAGGCAATTGAATTTTCCAGTCATTTTTTTCCCTCCCTGAGAAATGTTTTTTTTCCATGGTGTGTAGTTAAGTTTGCCTTTTAGATATATATAGGAACAATAGTATACTTTAGAATTTGAAGCAAAGAGGTCCTCAGCTGATATGTTACATAGACATAGGTTGAGTGTCAGATGTGGGTATGTGTCTAAGCTTCAGGTTCACCTGTTTTCCTTAGATTTTTCTATTTGGAGCAGCCATACCATTTTCAGTGTCTTGTATCATTGACATGATTAAGTTGGGGTAAAGATTGAAGTTAAGTGTCTATGTAAATAATTTGCATTGCTTATGTCTTGCTGTTGGTATAATGTATGCATTCCTTACATACGGAAGATTCTCATCAAGTGTTATATTTTTCCTGTGCAATTGCTGCACATTTGTATGCTCTGAAAATGTTTTACAAATGTTGTTGTTTCTTAAATTTCTCTATTGCTGCTTGTTTTTATGTACTGTCTTCCTTTTTTCTTCTTGATATTGCGGTAATTAGGTGTTTTTCTCCGTATATCATTTTGAAAAAGTTCAGGTTGAAAAAATTTCATTTTCTGGGAATGGTATCACTTTGTTTATTTCATTAATGTTTTGGTGCTGATCCTGTAATCATTTTGTAGGAGGATGCGGTTCTTCTAATTCCGGAGGATAGAAAACAAAAACCTTATGTGGCAATTATTAAGGTACTTGCTTTATGAATTATTGTACGACTTTTCTTGCATGGATATTAATTGTGTTTTTTTTTTACACATACACATACATTATTGATGTAAGTGGTAAACAGTATCGAGGTAAAAAAAGGATGAGTCCATAGATTTACATACCCATGCAAGTTGTTTAGTTGCTTCTGTGTCATTTCAGTCTCTGGGTGAAGGAATATTTTGCTCATGTATTGTTCATCACTTCTTTCTCTGTGATTACTTTGTCCTCACCATTTCCAATTTAAATAAAAACCTTTTGCTTGATTATCTGCCTGGAAAGTCTTGGTATGTTGGTTTGTCTTAAATACATGTATTCTTGCCCTTTTTGTGGGCTGCTAGCCAATTTCCTAATGTAATCCAAACATGTTTTTGTGGTGTTATGGGCAGCATGTTTGTTTTCTGATTATTTTCGTTTACTTTAATTTGTGACTGCTGGAACTGGTAATTAACTAGGATATAAGTAAGACCAGAGATGGGAGCATGATGGTATTAGGACAGTGGTTTTATCGACCTGAAGAGGCAGAGAAAAAAGCTGGTGGAAACTGGCAGTCACGTGACACAAGGGAGTTGTTCTATAGTTTCCATCGTGATGAGGTTCCAGCAGAATCTGTAATGCATAGATGTGTTGTGCATTTTGTTCCTTTAAATAAACAGCTACCAAGTCGTAAACAGCATCCTGGCTTCATTGTACAAAAGGTGTATGACACCCAAGGGAAAAAACTTTGGAAGCTGACAGATAGGGATTATGAGGAAGATAAGCAGCATGAGATTGACTTACTAGTTCAGAAAACTATTGGAAGATTGGGAGATCTTCCTGATATAGAGACTACAGATACCACCTTTAATCAGGATGAGCAGTTCAAGACTAAAAGAAGTTTAATAAAAAAAAACATATCACCCCTTGATGTTTCTAGGGTGGAAGAAGCAACCACTAAGCCTGGTCAAAATCAAAAAGCTGAAACACCTGGAAGCAGGACTAATTCCTCAGAATATCATTCCATTTTAGTCAAGTTCATGGCACTAACTGGAGACACACATCGTGATAGATGGTTGGAGAAACTTCTTGAAAATATTAGGCATGCATGCAATTCTGCTGACATCTCGAATGGAGATGAAAAGAGGAAATCTGGTTCTGATGATATTGGCCATGCAAGTGACTGTAAGTCCCCAGAAGTTGGAAATGGATCTCATAATCTCAAGGTATGCAGTACATTCTTTTTCCCACTCAAGGTATATATACGTATATCTTTTTGGTTTTCGGACGAATGGGGTGCATTGAAAATCAGGAGTGGATGAGTGAGGAGATGTTAGACCTTATACCTCACACGTTAACTTTACTGTCTTATACAGAGTGGCAAGTCTTTTCACTGGCCAGATGATGCTGTTCGTGCAGTTACTTCTCTGGAGAAGGCCTCTCATGAGTCTCTCTCCTCGGATTCTACGAAGTATAACCAAAAGTTGCGGCAACTGTGGTTCAATATCCAGGTCAGAAGGCTCTGTGTGCTTATATGCTCTTGTTTGGTTTGTTTGAGGTCAAGGCTTTTTTTTATACTATTTGCTGCTGAAGTCTATGTTGAAGATGTTAATGTCCTCAAATGTCTTATTTTGTACTTATATTTATTCTATTTTTTGCAGAGAAATTCATTCCTAGCCCGCCGGCTGCTAAATCAAGAGTTGGAACCTTTAACAATAGTGAACATGTCACCTGATGAGCTAAAGGTATGGTCTTTATCATGCTTTGGTATATAGGTGTTCAGTTTTGAGATGATTCTCAAGGAAGATAAATTCTAATTTGATTTTGATCAGACTCAGTTTCCTTTAGCTGGATTTGTCACAATGGCCATTTTGGTAACATCTGTGCTGACTGTGTCGTCCTTCTAGTCTTACTTAGTGATGGCTAAGACAGGGGGGATGGAAAGTGTTTATGCTGTCAGCTTAACTGGTCTCAAGTAGGCATTTTATTGGGTGATGGGAGCGTTGATGTATTGTTACCACATGTCTCTTATGAATTTTGTGACATACCAGTTGTTCTATTCCTCACACCTCTGTTTGTTACCCTGTGTCTAATTAAACCATCAGAAGCATTACTTCGGCTATTGTATTGGTCGTATTTTATGTAAGCCTCTGGTTTGATTATTTGGGTTGGCCATGATGAACTTTTTTTTTATTCTTCTTTTCTGTTTCCAATCAGAATTGTTATTTGTTCTTTTCTAGCTCCTTACAAAATATGACCATGAGTACCTTTTTCCTTAAAAGATTGAAGAGTTTTAAGGTACCTTTTTTTTTTGTAGCTCTACCAGCATGATTTTCAAAATTCATTTCTATTTGTTTCTAGAAATTTTGTGAGTTTATTTTCCTTTCCACCTCCTTCCTTTTTTGTATGGAGTAGGTCCAGCAGGCACACATGTCGTATATCTCTAGATGTTGTCTTTCTTCGGTTAGTCCATGTAAAGTTTCTAAGAGAATAACTTGGCAAGTGTGTTCAACTGGTGAAGGTATGTTGATATGTCTGTCTATAAAATCAAGGAACTTCAATTCCTTGTGTGGGAGCAGAAACTAGAATTCCAATTTAAAAATTTGTTCGTAACATCCAAACAAGTCTATTTTTGTCATGGGTGCCTCGGTTTTGATGGGTAAGGGACAATTTCCTGAGATGGTTGTTCATGTGCAACAAAGGCCTTGTGTGGGTTCAGAAACTAGAATTTGTTCGTAACATCCAAACAGGTCTAGTTTTGTCATGGGTGCCTCAGTATTAATGGATAAGGGACAATTGCCTGAGATGGTTTGTTGATGGGCAACAAAGGCCTACTTATTAGACTAATAGATTTAATGATTATGAAAATTCCAATGATATTATGATCTCAATAGCAAGGATGGCACAGAGATCCATGTAAACCATTTCATTTCTGTTGAATTAAGGCATAGTTGAGTCGATTTGTTCTTTTTATTTTGCATCTTTTAACTAACAATCATAAGATATGCTGAAGAGTTAACTCCTTGGATGTTTATGCGTGAAGTTATTCTGGTTTTAGTTGGATTGCTGGAGTAGTTGAAGAGAACGTTTACATTTATTTTTAGCCTTATGTCAAGTTTACTTTGATCAAATTCTTTTGGTATTTATGCTTTCACTCATTTTATATGAATGTTTCCAATTGTGCAAGAATAGAATCAATGGGCAGTGTGCTTCCCTCTGCCCTGGGTTGAATATGGTATCTTGACATGACACGTTTTGAGACTCAATGGCCAACATTTAGTGTATGCAAAAGTATTTGTGATTTGTTTTATATCACTGCTCTTGCTTCAAGGTTTTCATTTGTCATTAAATATGGCCCTTTAACAAACTTCAGGAGGGTTTAACAGCTGAGGAGAGAGCAAAGAAGGAGCCTGATGACTGGGAGCGTATGCAGGTCTTTCTATTTGTACCTGAAGTTGATTTTGGTTACCTTGCACTTTGCAGTGCATGGGTTTTGCGCACATTATTGACTTCTTGCCTATGAAACAGATGACGGATGCTCGTTGCTCAAGATGCTCTGAGTTCAAGGTGGGAGTTAGGGACATCATTCAAGCAGGACATGGTGCTCGTTATCAGGTTGGTGCATTTATAAATTCTGGATGAGTGCATGAATCATGGAAAATTCTGCTTCTTCAATAGGTCAAATTTGTTATTTAAAATCATTTTTATTCATCACTCTTTATAGGGCCTAATATATAATATGATATGAAATGGAGAGGCTAGTGGCAATTACTTTTGCCTCTACATTTTGCTTTTTAAATTGGGATAATACACTGGTGGAAGCAATGCTTCATAATGGCTAATGTTTGCGGAATAAGTCTGGTGTCCAGCACTCCTGCTCCGATCAAAACACCAAAAAGAAAAAAACAAGAAAGGAAAATAAAATGTTTCTGATGTCATACCAGTTCAGGATTAGGGTTGATTTAAGTAATCTGAAAGTCATGCCCACTGTCTGTAAGGCAAGAATCAACTATGGTGGGGGATTGTAGCTTCTCCCTCTGGAATTTCAACCCACTTTTCCTCTTTAAATTGTAATATTTGGATGTTACATGTGGATCAAAGCCGATGATCCCCTAGTTGCACCAATGCGATCCTTACATTAGTTGTTCTGTTTGGTTTCTACTTTTGCCTCATATTGCCAGTGGTCATAGCGTCCGCCTTTGGAGGTTGCTATTCAAAGTTTGAGATTTCCTGTGAATTCTAACACCTCTTGAGTCCCTTAAGTCTTGTTATTTTACTTGTACTCTCTGACTAAAATGGGTGGTAATGACCAGCTCATATGTGTGAGTTAAATCAAGCAGATGCTTATAGTGGATTATGACAACATTTTTACGCTTATATGTAGAGATAATGCAAAGAATTTTTTTTCTGCTGCATGAAATGTTATAACTGATTATTATTCATGTTGGACAATGTTAATATTTGAACCCAGACAAGTAACATGATGGATGGAAAATGCCCTAATGATGATTTCATTAAGAAATTGTCATTGAGTACTTGTAGATTAGATATTAGATTATTTGTTTTTATTAAGTTATGCAGTGTGTTTCAAGGGTAATTTAGATTGTGACAGAGCTGTAGCATTTGTTTCATTGTTGCAACTGGCATTTTACTCACTACATTTTTGCTTTCAGCTGGAGTGTATTGCCTGTGGCCATTCGTGGTATGCTGCTCGGGATGCGGTTTCGATGCTCACAATTGATGCACCTAGTTCTAACAAGAACGTGGGTACAGCTCCATTAGCCACTGCCAAATTTGAAGATGTTGAGAAGAAGCTGGTGAGTCCTCGTGAATCTGACAAGGCAGCAGCCAAGGACACTTTGAAAAAAACAACTGAAGCATTTATGCCAGTCTTGGATGCGCAAAGATCATTTAGTAAGTCTAGAAAGGAAGAAAATTCAGAATCAACAAAGAAAGCTGAGTAGAAATGTTGGGCAGCCTTCATAGTTTTGTGTTTAGAAAGGTAGGTTTATCAATTTTCTAGGAAATTCTGCTTAGTAGTAGACTTGTACAGAACTTAGTATACCCATGCATATGCTAATCGAGGGTTTTCCCCGACTCGACAGCAGTTTTAACCAAGTTAAATATGTTTCTTCATATAGGATATACCCCTCCGCCCCGAGGGTTTAGCGTAGATAGTTTTAACATGCTCAAGAGCTGAAATTCTGTATCTGCTGTAGACGCTCCAAATTAGAATAGACTGACCGGATGTCAGAATATAGATGAGAATTGATGTCACTAAGTTCCAGACAAGTAATGGAGATGGCCTTCTACCTGTTTTCTTTTTTCTGTTGATGAATTTTGTTGCTTTCGAAGTTGCTTGTTTTTGGTTTCTTACAATGGGATATTCTAACTACTCTAATCAATGATAACTGTCCTGACTAGCTGGCCTAAACTGAGATACGCATGTTTCTGTGTATTTAGTTGTGTAACTTATGATGTGCCCATGTCTATTGATGATTGGTTTTAAGACAGACATGCTGTGGCTGTGGGTCATTGCATATTTCTGATATCATTTGCATTAAACATACGCGGTTGGTATTTGGTACACTTGTTGAAGATGAAAAATGAAAAGTGAAGAAAATATTAAGAATGATACTAATTGTAGTTAGTATCTGACAGAGGTGGGTGGAGCTCAAATGCATACTTGTTGAAGATGAAAAATGAAAAGTGAAGAAAATATTAAGAATAATACTAATTGTAGTTAGTATCTGACAGAGGTGGGTGGAGCTCACATGCATCTTGGATTGGATTTTTGGTAGCTACTTGTTATTAATAGTAGAGCTCGTTGTAGCCTAACCTTAATGAGAGTTACCAATAGTGGCAGGTTTTAGTTGAAATTGTAATGAAGTACTTTAAAGGCTTTCTTTCACCTCTCATGACCTGCGGTTGTGAGATTTATTTCTTACTTTTTACTTTTTCCTCATGAGAGTTACCACTTACCACAATCTATTGGCTAAAAGGCTGACCTAGGAAATACAAATTTTGAGATGTTTATGTTTTCAGAAAAAAATTATTTACTTCCTTATAAAATAAGGGAGATTCACTATTATATCCAATATATGAGCTCAAATTATAAAAATATAAAATCAGATGTTTTTTGTTTTTAATAATTGGGGTGTTTTTTTAGTTGTTATTGAGTTTGAGTTTTTAAAAATATGGCTACCAAACAAGTTTTCTTTGTTTTGGACTCAAATTCTGTTTTTGAGTTTAAAAAGTTAGATTCAAGTTGAATACTAAATAGACCCTTATCTTTTCGTCAGAGGTTGAAAATAGGAGAAGTTCGAATCGGTAGTTATACTTCTGAATTGTGAGGTTAAAAGGATTTTGTTTTTAAAATTTATAAATGTAATCTTTGGAATTTTGAATTTTTATTAAATCATGTAGAGTTTTAGGATAAATATGTTATAATTGGTTAAGATTATTATTTACCAATTAACATTTAATTTAGTGATATTTCTTTTTCAATATTTGAGGAAGTCTCAAATTTACTCATTTATAGTAGAAGGAAAAATATGTAATATTTGCTTCAACCAAGGAAAGTTCTCAACAAAAAAGAACAAAATCAAGAAAATCTCGTAATCACCTTCATTTGAGCGATCTGAAATCAAGGCTTTTTGGTCACATAAATTTTCCTTCGGATTTACTATTTACAGTTTCACTGCCACCTTGGGTATTGTAACTAGTAATTACCAAGCACCAGTTTAAAATTAAAAGAGAAGAACAAGAAAAAAAAATAGAAAATTAGGGTTACGTGACGCGAGTCCAAGATTCCGTGGGTGTGATGTGACCGACCGACTGCTTCAGCTTTGTCTCCTCCTGCCTAGTCCAATCACATGAACACACTTGTACCATTTTCTGCCTTCGCTCTTCTTTCATGCTTTTCCATTCCAACAGTACAAATGTACGAAACTGCCCATCCCTATCATTTTCATTTCATCAAAACACAATCAAGAAAGAAACCAGGAATTTTTCTTTATTTTTGTAGTTATATTTATACAAATTCACCCTATGTAAGTTAAGTATCATTGAAAGTATCATTGCAAGCAAAACAAAATCCATCTACTTCTTACTATGAATTAATGTTGATTGAGTTGAGTTGAGTTATTAGGGTTAATCTTTACATGAAATCTGTGTCTCATTCTCGTATTGTCCGTTGCTATTAATTATTTTCTGATCTTTAACCTAATTGACAATATGTCAACAGCTAATCTTTTTCGTGTTGACTTTGTGGTTATTCCCTCCTTTTTCCATCCCCTCTTTTCTCTCATTTTCCTCAAATATGTAAAATCATTTCAACACAGTCTTACCCTTAATATTTATGGCAAATAAGTTATATAAATAGCTAAGATGAAAATGAGTCACATAATAGAGTGCATTCTTGTCATCGACCAGGCCTCTAATATTTTGAGAGTTATGAGGAGTTTAGAGTAATATTAGTAGGGCAAGATCTGAATTTCACTACATTAATTTAATGATTTGATAATTAATTATGGGGAACCGTCAGATTAATTGTGGGATTCCAGTCCTTGATATTTGCAATTTCCCAAACCATAAGATAATAATTTGTGACAGAGCTAAAGGACACCAACCTTATCAAAATGCCAAAAATACCCTCAAATAAAACCATACCACTGGTCCACAAAATGGCACTATCGACTTTTTATAACATGGGTGCCCTCTTCAAGGCTGCCACATCACTGGTCTAAGTGTACATACAATTTATTTTTAAAAAAACCAAAAAAGAAAAGAAAAACAGCATATGATGACTTGAAGGGCATGGCTTTTAGTAGACATGAACAGAGACTTAGCAGCTCTTTGTCTCTCAATGCAACTCTCTTGCTTGTTTACACTCTTCCTCTTGCTTGTGTTGTGTGACTGAGTGAGTGAGAGAGACTTGTGTTTGTGCAGTCTCACTCTTTCTTGTTTTCTCTCTCTTTATCATCTCAGGCATGCTTTCTCTCTCTTACATTGTCTCACCTCATCATCTTCTTTTTCTCTCTCTAGACTTCACTTTTTGTGTCTATCCTGCTTTACTGCTCTTGGCCTTGTTCTGATTAATTTCATTTTTTCCCCTTTAGCTTTTTCGGACACTAGCGGAATTTTAAGCAGGCTTTGGGGTCACAGTTTGCTGTTCCTTGACATTGAGTTTTGGGATTGTTTTTGTTCTCTTCAAGACTTAGCGAGACTTTCAGTCCAAGAGATTGAAGAACATGATTGCATCTGCTGGTAGCTTGTTGGGTTTTCCTTTTGCTTCACTTATCTGAGATCTGGTGGGGTAAGGCCATTTTCTACAAGCATTCTTTTTTGGTTGGCTTGAAATGCAAGTGAAAATACAGCGAAGTACAGCAAGTTGTTTTCTTTTCTGTTTTTTCTGTTTTTTTAAAGGAGAATATGTAGCTTTTAGCTGTATTACTTTACTCATTTTTGGGTACTTTTGTAGTCAATAAGATTTCCTGTGTGCTTTTGGGTTATGGTTTTCCATTTTCATAGAGATCAAGGTTCTGGTGTTTTGAGGTTTATGTGATCTCAAAGTTTGGAATCATTGATGGGTTTAATGCCTTTTCAAACAATGGTTTTTGCCAAGGTGAGGATTTTATAACTATTTTTTTTTCAAGAATAGAAGACTCCAGATAATTTTTCTCCAGTTGAGCGTATGAGTTTATAGCTGCTGCAAATTAGGATATCTATTACAGCGGATAGAAATGCATTGCCATCAGTATATCTGTGTAAGCCATTTGCTCTAAAATCTCGTTTTATGCTTATTTGTGATGTGTTCTGTTCTTATCAAGATTTGCAGAAGCATATTCCTTTTCAATTGTCTGTTCCTGAGCATGAGAATGGATGAAAGTTGACCTTTTTCTCAAGGGGGTAGTTTGGCATTTATTGCATTGTATTTAGACAAGTTTATTTTGGCATATGAAATGCAATACCTGCCAATGGTTTCAATTTTGCTAGCAGCTGAATGCTTTTACCTTGGTGTATTTGTATAACGTATTGCTTGCCTATTTTGGTGAAAGAATTTTAGTGCAAGAATTGTTTTGATTTCTAGCCGTATTGTCAGAGTTAATTTCTATTTTAATGTAATAGATTGCTTGTGCATAGCTATTGCTCCTGCAGATCATGATCTCTATCTTTTTGTTTCCATGTTTGTTGCAGAGTTTCAGATCTATCAATGGGACTAGAGATGGACTTCGATCGAAATCACACAGTGGGTCTGAGTCCTAACACTGTTCTCCCAACTCATCGGCGTCATTCCTTTGTTGAAAAGAGGGGCACAAAAGGAAAATCGAAAAGGAAAGAGGATTTATTGAGCATAAAGGAGGATTTTGTTGAAATCAGCTTTCATCGCTATCATAGCTCCTCTGGTAAAAGTGTTCCATTTAGACCTGTTGAGCAGGAAGTTAACTCAGACCTTAAACGTGGTTCTATATATCAAAGCTCCAAAGAGGTGAGGAAAATTAAGAAAATGGGCAGTGTTGATGGAAGGAGAAAGAATGAAATACCTCGAAGTAGTGATACTGCTTTCTCATACCGAATTGTTGATTCGATGTGTAGTTCAGATGAGGAAAGCTCACAGAATAGGTCTTCACTAATATCTTCGAAATCAGACTTGAATACACCATCTGGTGGTCGGCCTCATGTTGAACCATGTTCATCAGATAGCTTGATTGATATTTGTCTGGATCCAGATAACAGGGAAAAGCACTCTGCTGAAGCTTTAGGAGAATATTCAGTGGATCCGAAACTAAGAAGTGACCCTGTTGCTGGACCTCTAAACAACGGTAATGAACTTCTTGAAAGAGACCAAGTTCACACATTGCACAAGTCATTTTCTGCTAAGGTGGAAATGCTTCATTCTCCTTCACCATTAGAGAGTGCTCGGTCATCGAGGGTCAGTTCAAAGGTCAGGTTCAGCCCTATCAGAAGGATGTTCGATCCTTTCATGAAGTCCAAGTCTTTGCGAAGTCCAAGTTATGCAGTGGAACCTGGCAGAGCTAAAACTACTGAGACAGAAAACATGACAAGAAACCGGACATATCAGAAGTCTTTGTTGCCAGTCTTTTCAAATGCAGCACAGAATCCAGACTGTGATCCTCAGACTATCAAACGAGATAACCACCAATCTCTTGTTGCATGTTCACCAGTTCACCTACGTGGCCATCTCAAGTTACAAAATAAACACGGAATGCCATTTTTTGAGTTCTCATTGAAGTGCTCCGAAGATGTCTTTGTGGCCAGGACATGGAAAGCAGATAATGCTATTAATTGGGTGTATACTTTTCACTCCATTGGAAGTAGAAAGAAGAGCAATGCCAGTGGTTGGGGATTGTATGGTAGTGACAGAGAATCTTCAATGGTGGGACAGATGCAAGTTTCCTGTTATCTATGTTCAGAACTAAAAGATGGAGTTTTCGACAATTCCATGGTGACAGAGTTCGTGTTGTATGATGTCTCTCATGCAAGGCAAACTTTTGCAGCACGAGAAAACTCTAAATGTACCGTTGATGATGTTAAAACTCCAAAAGGTTCTAATCATGGCACAGTGGGGGAAACTTTGAAGTTGGATGAGTCTGGTCCTACTAAAGTTAAACTTGAACAAAAACATGCTTCTGACAAGAGTGATTTTGATTCTTCAGCCTGGGCGTCTGCCAATTTGCATCCAAACCTTGAAATTGCAGCCATTGTTATGCAAGTCCCCTTTGAAAAGAGAGAAAGCTTGAAATACAAGAGAGAGGATAAGACAAGTGATAAAGCCCACGAAAACCTACTTAATCTCTCTATGGTCGAACAGAAGAAGGATGCCCCTGATAGCCGAGGTCCAGGAAATGTGAAGGTGGTAATTCCAGCCGGAAACCATGGTATGCCGAGTGATGAAAGCAAAGGACCTTCGTCATTACTAGATCGATGGAGGCTGGGTGGAGGCTGCGACTGTGGTGGCTGGGACATGTCCTGTCCACTTATTGTCTTAAGCAATCCCCACACTCAATGTGCTGATAATCAACTATTGGTGGAGAATCAACAGCCCTTGGAACTTTTTGTGCAGGTAATATTCTTTGATGTTGGAGAAAATTTATGACCATAGCTTGGACGGATGGAGTCCTTTTGTTAAATTTGGGATTATAAAGCCATCTGATGATGTTAGGATTCAGGAAGACTAGATGATGTCTGCATTCAAATAAGCCATCTGATGTCATCCTAGTTGACTTGCTTTTCATTCTTCATTCCTTTTGTTCATGTTTGGTAACAGATATATAGGGCATCTCATAAGCTATTTCTTGATTTTGATTTGTTTGCAGGGATCAAAGGAGAAAACACCAGCATTGACCATGACAATGGTCGAAGAGGGACAGTATACAGTTGATTTTCATGCACAGTTATCCACATTACAAGCATTTTCTATTTGTGTTGCCATTCTACATGGTACAGAAACATCTGCAGCGGCGGGGCAGGAGAGAAACAAACAGTTTTCACAGTGCAATTCATTGAAAGTGCTAATTGAGGAAGAAGTAAAGTACTTAATTGAAGCAGTCACAGCAGGGGACAAGAAGGAAGTAGCTAAGAGGGTAAAGAAAATCCAACCATCTTATGTGCTCAACCCACCCTTCTCTCCAATTGCACGAGTATAGATTTCAAGCAGCATTGATGGTTTTATCCAGAGAATCCCACAATGGGCTTAGAGACCCCAAACGTTTACCAGAATGAATGGAAGGGCATCAGCAGCAGATGACTGAAATCACATTCCACTGGTACTGAGGGTCATCGGTGGGCAGTCTGCTCAATTAGGCAAAAAGGGCTGCCTCAAACGGTTACAGACTTTGTAAAACTGCCAAGTCTTTGCCATTGCCTGAGGGTTATTGCCACAGGGTCTAGCTCATTGATAATGTATCGTTCAACTTGTTTTTCGATGTCTGTAATCAAAGTGTCAACAGAATACAACACTGTCCATATTGAAATCTGTAGGGAAGGGGAAAATAGTAACCATATGAGAATTGGGAGATAACAGTCCTCTCTTTTGCATTTTTTTTCCACTTTCATTTGTATTTTAGTAGAAGGGTAGCTGGGGGACTACATTCTTAAAATGGTTCCATGATGCTCTCTCACCGTTACTGTATATGGAGCCAGAAGATGAAGAACTTTCTTAGCAAATAATTACCTCAAACAATTTTGAATAAATTGTTCACTTTCTTTCAATTGAATTGTCAATGTCACTGGCATTTTTTTTTCTTTTATACAAAGCGATATTTGGGGAGGGAGGAATTGAATCTAAAATCTAGGATGTAGTAAGAGTAGATGTTTTTAATCACTTGAGCTACAAGCCCTTGCTATGTTATCACTGGCTTGAAGCTAAATAAAAAAGGAAAAGGATTGTCCACCTGATCGTTGCAATGTTGTGCTTGTGAGTTGTTATTTTCTCTTCATTAGTAGCCGTACCAGAAATGGACTAAACTAAACTCTCTCGCGGGAAATATAAGAAAGGGAAACCGTGTGTCGTTTTCAAATGCGGCTAAACGTCAAAAAAGTGCGCCGTTGCCGGGGATCGAACCCGGGTCACCCGCGTGACAGGCGGGAATACTTACCACTATACTACAACGACTTTGTTGATAGTAAAATGCAGTTGACTTATTAATATTAATTCTTACGTGCAATAAGAAAAAGACCCAACTGAGATTAAATTATCAAAAAGTTAGTTAAAAAATTTCGCCTCAATGTGTTCACTTAAGAAAAAAATTCAGTTCAAATAAAGGCACTGGGAGATGTGTGAAATAACTCATTTTAATACATGGCAAATTATTTTGACTCGAATTTGCAAGTCTCTACTATTTTAACTCTTGTTGTATGATAAAGGATGGAATAAAGGGTATTTGTATCAAAAAATGATTGAAGTGTTGGAATAGTTTAACTTCAGGTTCAATAGCATTTATTTTACATGGGGTCATTTGATAAATAAAGAAATGATGTTAGAAGAGCTCAAGTTCGAATCTCGTCTCTCTATTGATAATAAGAAAAGAAAAACGAGATCATTTGACGAAATTCCCCTATAGTTATGGTAATGAAAGTCCGACCTAAAGATTACTTGGAGGGAATATTACCAATTTGACTAAGCTGACTGTCTCCTAATACACAATGGACCAATGATTCTGTAACATAATTTAGCTGATATTATATATTTAAAATGTATATCTGCACGGTTATATTTTTTAAAACAAATATAAATAGCTAAGAAATATACTTGGAAACTAAATTGAATCGCATCCAGATTTCAAGCCTCAAGGGCTTTGTAGCATCTCAACTCAAACAAAGCATCATGGCTATACCTTGTCCACATTAAAATTTAAGATGTCAAATGCTCTATCTATTAGTTTCGGATAAAAACAGATATGAAGAAAAAAGAGGAACAAGAGGGCGGATATGTCATCTTGAAAACATTTATGAAAACAATCTATGCCTGCCAATAATAAGAAGTGAAAGATTACAACATGCGGCAGGCAGGCAGGCAGGCAGGCAGGTAGGCAGGCAGGCAATGTGTCAATTTTTGAGGAGCTCTTCTTATAACACTAAGCGAGCGAGCGAGAAAGAAAGCTCATCAACACTCTCATCATCATCCCTTGGGCCTTGCACAAGGGAGTAATATCACATCACTTTGCTTGACACGGGTGCATCTCTAATTCTCTATACAAAAGTAAAATTGCATACTGGAGTCTACTTTCTGTATAAAATTGAGCAAAATAGCTGGTGGGTACATACAAAAGTAAAATTTTAATGTCGGAATTCACCAAATTAAGACAAATATTAGGATATTCCCACTAGCGTGCTTCCCGGATGATGAATCAAGTCCCCCAATTTTTTCATCTTCTCCTTCACTTAAGTGACGAGGGCTGTGAGCCTCTTGCGCTGCGTCACCTCTGGGTTTGGATCCTCTTCGTCTTTGCGATTCTTCTTCGATGCCATTTTGATTCCACCGGATTTTTCTCTTTTTCTCTCTGTCTGTGCCTCCGACTCCGAATATTATTTCATATGATTGCAACATTTCTATTGCCGCATTTGATATTGATTTGTTAAAATTAGTTTAGACCAAGAGATGCAACTTTTGCTTAGGTTAATTTTCTGTAATACTCCATGCACATAAAGTTACATCATAAAATTATTTTGCACAGACAACCTTCTGCTTCTAATTTTATATTTCACTAATAAAGAAGATTAATGATACACACAATTGCACCTATGCCGATTATACATTCTTTCCTCTTCTACAATTTTAATCTCGCACAAAATTTGAATCCAATCATTATCATAATAAAGCCGAAGAATTCTGGTATCTCTCAAATGGTCATGAATGTAGACCACGCAATTTGGATGATGCAGGTGAAGACGTTGCCGGGAGTGATGATGGCAATACGGGATTGCCTTCCGTCTTTGGTTGGTATTGGATTCTTGGAGCATCAGTTTGTGGCGTCTCCAAAGAGAACAAGCTCTTGAAAAATTCATATGATGCAAAGAAAAGCGCTCCTTGAGACATATACATAACCAATCTTGGAGTCAATCCCCTGACAGTCAGCCACAATAAGAAAAATTGTCTTGCCATCGTCATATCAAGCATACAGCTCAGTAAAAACCAAAAAGTAAAAAAATAAAAATAGAAAAACAGAAATTTACAAGGGACCTCCTTTACAAATTACAATGGCTGGAAAGGACAGAAATGGACCAAAACATACCTGTAGAGGCCTTTCAGACCTTCATTCTTTCCTATTTCCTGAAGGGCATGAATCACACTATTATACTGGCTCATAGACCCTGGAATCTGCATAACAGGCACTTTATAAGAAGCATTGGCAACATATATATTATATAATTTGAGTTTTGTTCAGTTGAAACATTCTTCGTGAATTTCGGTATAATTTTACAAGGGCCAAAGCTCCGGGAAAAATATGACCTGTTGAAACTCTATAGGCACCAAAATGAATGTCATCCTGATTTCTGAGTCAAATCTACTTCAACAGGCTAGCAAGATTATTAATCATTTTGTTATTGAACTTCTAATGCTCTTAGAAAGCTATTTCAGAAATGGGAAAAGTAGCTGGTGTGAATCATGAATTAATGGATGAGACATTTTTGGCATGAAATACCCTGACAGTAATTGTTGAACATCAGAAAAAGTTAATAATGAATCAGACACTATAAAAAATGCATAAAGATTACAAACCTGCGTCTGCAATCTCGTCTTGACAACATCAAAAGGAGTTGTTAATAAAGCAGCAGTAGATCCAGCTAATCCACCACAAACTAGCTGCAGTGGTGGAAAAAACATCTTAGTGTAACTGGGATGAGAAGAGAACGAAAATAACTTGCTAAGAGCCAATTGCAAAGAAGGTATATTATAGTTAAAATGGAAGAGGTTTGGGGTAGAGAAGAGGTTAACAAACTGTTTGTAATGTGGTGGGATGAACACTAGCTTCATTTGGGGACAACATAAATTGCTTCAAGCTTTCATATGTATAGAACTGCAGTAGCAATACACAAAGTCTAAAAAATTAAATGCTGAAGTAGAAAGGATGAGAAGGTAGTAATCAAATAACCAGGGAGAGTTGCAAGCATCCAAAATACAATGCCAGAGACATTTCTGACCCTCTCTCTCGCCTCTCTTCACACGTATCTTCTTGGCACAACTCCTTTCTTTAGCACATAAACTATTTCAGAAGGTAGAAATAACTGACCTTGACAATTGAGTGTGGAACATTCCTGCAGAGTACAGCTCCCCACCCAGCATACAATGAAGGCAAACCTCCGTTCCGAATGATTCCAAGCAATGCATTCCTTAAAAAAAAAATTAGAATGGTTGAAACAGAAAACTAACAGAACAGAAGTTCTATGTGAGGACCATGCCAGAACCAGAGTTGGTAGCTATAAAAAAAAATATTTCTAGAGGCTCACACAAAGGAAATTACATTGAATTTACAATATAATTAGCAATAAAAGTTAAGTTTTCAAAACTTTACATAAAACTTTGAATGAATGGAGCAATCGAAATCAACACCTAGTGCCTACACTGGAGTAAATACCATATGAGTAGTGAAATTGGCAAAGATTATACAAGGATCTTAAAGATTTACCAGCAGTTGTTATAGTGGGAACCAACTTGCATCTGCTGCTTTATACGCTCACTAGGAGTAAAAATAAAGGAAGTAGCAATGCTTGCACAACCGCCTGCCACGCAATGGGCAAAAGAGTAATACTCCTGCACAAAAGAAAAGGGTAAGACTTAGAAAGCGTATGGGTGGCTTCACAATAGGTTCCAGAAAGTTTGTGACTTGTTTTCTCCCTCCCCACCACGCTTCCACGTGAGAATTAGAGTTGCAAACAAATAGATAAACAAAGTAGAATAAAAAGAAGGGATGGAGAAGCATATGGACAAAGCCAGTGCCAGAGAGAACAAAAACAAGATAGTAGAGAGATCTGCAGAGCAAAAGATCAGGATGGCACCTTAGGAAAAAGAGGAAGCAAGGCTCCCTTAACTGATTCATATGTAAAAGTATAAACTGCAGAAATTGGAGCTGAAGATGCAATATTTGTAGCAATACCACGATAAAGTCCAGTTAAACCTAAAATCAACGTCACCACAATCAGTTTT